AAAACAAAAAGTTATAATGTTTTATATTTTTAAGAATTTTGCATGAGACATCGTGTATATTATTTACAGAATTTATGAATATCTATACAGTCACAAACGTTTGTTGGTATAGTCAATCAATTACTTTGTGCATTACAGAAATACATAAAGGTGTATTCAGTAATCATTTTATACATTTATTTTTTATTCCCAGAATAAATTTCTTTTTTAATTTCTTAAAGAAACCCGAACACTATTCAAATAAGTAAATGATAAATAAAACCCTTTCTTTTGAATTTTAAAATAATTAAAACATATTTCTACAAGTTCCCTATATTACTTTATCTATTGCATAATTTTATTTATTAGTAACAATACATTATTTTATTAGTACTTGATTTAAAAGAAATGTATATTTTTTTATATTCTTTTCAAAATTGTTAATCTTAATGAAATATATTTGAATAAAATTTAGTGATTACCAAAATCTTCCCAGACTTATGTACATATAATAAATATTGTAAGATAAAATAAATATTAACATTATTAAAACTGGAAAAAATAAAGATATTTATATTTAAATTAACTAATTTCTTAACATAGGAACACAAGTAATACAGTAAATACCAAACTGACGAAAGCAGTTCGAACTTTTTAAAAAAAAACGACGTTTTAGACACGAAATAATAATCTTAGCACAGCATTAATAAATCACAATCAAATATAACTGTTAGTTATATGTAAAAACGATGCACTCTAAAGACAAGCGTTTTGTTATCTGGTAATCTTACTGTGTATGCAATTAATAAACTTATCCAATAGAGTAGTACTGTCATACTCATAGTCTATATCAGCGTTAAATACCAGCTCGTTGTTAGTAGTCCATCACAACGACGTTGGCCTGAGTTTCTGCAAACAGTAAATTACAGAAACGTGGTAAAAATAATCATTATTATTTGTTCTGAAACGTTACTTAGTAACTGAACAACATGTACTTTTATATGAAACTGTTTTTGTTCAACCACTAATAAATATTAATTACAATAATATAAATCAACATTTTTTTCATTATCCAAAATCATAAAAAATAAGTTATTTTTAGCTAAATTTCTCCTGTATGTTTTATTTTTATTCATTAATGCTAGAAAAATATTGAATAATAATTAAAATTTAACAAATTTTATTGTGAATTTTTTAAAAATAATTTTAATAAATTATCTTATTATCCAACCGTATATTATAAATAACTTCTGGTGCGTTGAATCCTTGAATGGTGGTGAAAATAAGATATTAATTAATGACGTTTAAAATAAAGCGTTATTTTTTATTTGTTCATTATAGATTTGAGTTAATCTTTAACTGTCTAATTTTTTTGACAATCTAAGATCAAGTTGGCTGTCATGAAGATATTTTGTTAACAAATTGTCCGAATCAAATAATTCAAGTTAATGTGTGTGTGTCTGTATGTTTGTCTCTAAAAAAAAAATTTGGCACAATATTGTTGAACATGTGTATTAGACACGATAAGTCAGTATTATTGAGTATTATAAATGTCTACTATAGGTCATTCTTGAAATTCGGAAACACAGTTACCGCAAACAATATGAAAAAAATAAAATAAGTAATTTTTCATCATGTTTTGACAATTAGTTTCAATGCATTCATAGGCAAATATTCGTCACAAAATGCTTATTTTTCAAATGACTTCACTAAAATCCCACGCAAAAGTAAAATCTGCCGATTCCGAAGACCCTAACTCTTATAATTTTTTTTTTTGCTGCCTCGACTCGTATTTTTTAGTGCATTTGATGTTTTATTATACACATATTTGTGGACACAAGCATAATGTGTTCATCTGTGTCATCTATCTGGAAGCGAGGCGAGCACAGTAATTAGTATTTCGGTCACGAAATGTGTGTACTTAGTACACACACATACTTACTTCACCACTCACTCCTAGTCACAATTGTTGTATATATGAATACAACCGAAAACCAATAGAAATACATACTCATTTTTCATAGAAACGTATTAGTATGATTTATGATTATATTCATTTCTTTGTCGCAATGTCGTTAAATAATAGAAATCTAAAAAGGGACTTAATTTTTTCACTTCCCAACTGATAATCTGCTTAAAATCCAAATACATATTTCTGTCGACTGTGTAGTTTGTAGATATAGTTAACGTATTTATTTTAAACGTTCATTCACGTATAAATTACAACGAGTATCGGACGGACTGGCCCACTGATTTGTTATACAGTGTCATTGTACCTACGGGCGAAAAGTGGTCACCTGAGATGATGCCGCAGCCACGATTATAAACAATTAAATTATTTTTTTTCATTATGTTAATACTTTAATAATTTGAAAATGATTTATTTTTACATTGTACAACAAATAATTAAACAGACACTAATTGGTAAAATGTTTAGAGGCTAGATTAATTTAAGTTAATAAAACAAGGAGGTATACATTATTATATCGAGATTTTATAACATTGAGACTCCCTAGTGTTCGTCCAAATATTTTTTCATAAATAATTGAATTGTTGAATAAAAAAAAATGATAATTTTTTTATTACATTGGGCCATACCTCTGCTACGAATGTCACTATAGTTTTCATTTGATTTTGATAGCTTATACAGTTAATAAGTTAAGACTTTTATAATTTGAATAGCTACTTTTATATTGACTCATATTAAATATCGATAGTCATTACAAAACAACTAGTTAAGAAAGCTTAATTTTGAAAAAAAAAATCATTACTTCTCTAACAACGAATTTTATATAATATAAATAAAAAAAAAAATTTACCTTTATATAAGAAAACTAGAGTGATATTGCTATTATATACAGTCTTGTAAATATAATTTATTTTTTATATTCAGAATATGTATTCGAAAAATGATTGATAAGGTATTTAAAATATGTATTTAAATATTAATAAAAATATGAAATTATATAATATAAAAAAATTTTTTTTTAATATGGAATAATAATTACAGTAATGAAATGAAAATTTTATAAATACCCATAATAACAAATCTTTAGCATAAATTTATAAAAATAATTTGGCAACTAAATTTATTTTTCTTCTACCCTAATTTTTTGTTATATAAAAATACTTGTAATGTCTTTGAAATGCTATAAGGATTACTGCAACTTTTGGAGCGGCTAAGCCCCCCATTTACGTCTATGTAATAAATTTAATTTATATATTATCTGGTGTCATAGCAATTTCGCGCAGTACTATTGAACACCGGACATTTCCATGTTAGATTATTTTTATTGAAGGACTAGATTATTTCTATATAATATAAATAAATTTTATGTCAAAAATAACAATAATAAAAGATAACATTAAAGTATTTTTAATGTTATATACAATGGTCTANGGACTAGATTATTTCTATATAATATAAATAAATTTTATGTCAAAAATAACAATAATAAAAGATAACATTAAAAATACAATAGACCTATAAATAATTAAATTTTAACCATAACTAACATAATTTACATACTGGCATTTTCATAAATATTTCCTCAATAACTGATAATTGATAAAACAATACAATATGCACGAGCAACAATAAAATACGGGTTTATGTAGGAATAAGTTAAGAACATTAGAGCTAAAAATCACTTCTTTTATTTTTCTTAGAAGTGCAGAATTTTTTTTTATTAATACTACTTTTTATTGAAATTTGGTCATGTATGACTAATGTATGTAATAAAAATATCTCGTATAAAAGAGTGTGTTTTACGTCATCCTATTTTAGATTCTACCATTCATCAATAAAAAAATTGATTTCAAGTAATTTCTACAAAAAATGTAAAGTATAATTTAAACAATTATACTTTACTTTACAATTAAACTATACTAAAAAACATTTTAAATTATTAGATATAAAATTTGATTTCTGAACATATATTTTTTTAATTAACTTGACTTTTACTATAAAAATACTCCTATATAACTAAAAAGTAAAATTTATTATACAATAAATATAGTTACATAAATTCATTAATAAAAAAATAATTTTTCAAAATATAAATATAAAATATTATAGAAGTATTTCGATAGATATTTTTGGGTAGTGTCATTTAATTTAGCAATACAATTTGTGTTTATTTAAAAAAATCAACATTTTTTTTTATCTTAACCATTCTAACCTCTGAATTATCTTGTTAATTACCAGTCATTGACAGATTTCCATAATTTCTCATGGTTTATTCAAAAATAAAAATATTATTTTAACTTTAATAAATGTTAAAATCGCAATTACCAAAAATAAGATACTGTTCCAATAACTGGTGTTACCACCTTAAAGTAAAACATTTTTTTTTTTTTTTAATAGATATTTGTACCATCAAATGGGTTAACTTGGGACAGAAATTAAACTAAGAGTTATTAAATATCTATTTAATTATAACAATCTATAGCACCAACAAAGACAAGTACTTTAAAAAAATAAAATATTTGTTCACAAAAAACACGTAAAAAGTTTAATTTGTGATGTTCTAAAGATAAAACATAATATTCAAATCTTATATAAGAAAAATATAATTTTAATTAGAGAAATAATTTATTTTATGAATTACATTAATTCTGAATTATCAAAATTTCTTTAATTAGAGTTCTGAAGTTTACTATTTAGAATAACTTAATTTAATATTTCTACCTATTAATTATATAAAACATTAAATTTTAATAATTTATTAAAAACACTTCTAACAGTGTGCTTTACATTACAGTAATGTACTTTATAATATTATTAGAGTCTATTTAAATTAAACATTATAAAATTTCAGATTTTAATAAGAAATTGCATTAAGTTGATCTTTAGAGCAAGTTCAAAAGTGTAAAATATAAATGTTTACTCACTGCGTAGTAATATTAATATTTATATCATCTTATTTTACCATATTTGTTCAAAATCATGATTCCTAACATATCAGTTTTAAGGAATTAAAAAACTTAGGATTTTAAATATAATAAAAAAAGTCATCATATTTATGTGGTAAATAGTCTTGTATATTAATGTCAACACAAAAATAATAGTTTAAAATAAAGATCAAGCAATACTGCTGGCATTTGAAGCAATTCTAGGCCATAAGTCTGCACATTCTTTAGCTACAGGTCCAGTAATTGCACTTCCTTAAAAATAAAATTATAAATTAATTTGGTGGAAAATTAAATATTTGAATCAAGTTTACCTTTCATTTCGCCTTTATTATTCACTATTACACCTGCATTGTCTTCAAAATATATAAAAATCCCATCCTTCCTTCTAAATGGTTTCCGCTGGCGAATAACTACTGCTGGCATAACTATTAACAAAGTAATTTTTTTAATAATTACTTATAATAAAAAAATATGTAAATCATTTACCTTTTTTACGAAGTTCCGGCTTTCCTTTCTTTACTGTGGCAACTATCATATCGCCTGATCCAGCAGCAGGCAGACGATTCAAACGACCTTTAATGCCTTGAACAGCAATAACAAATAAATTTTTGGCACCTGAAACAATTTGAAAACATTTTTTAATATTATGTCTAAAATATCAAATGAATCGTAAATATATATCATATAAAAATATTTTCACCTGTATTGTCAGCACAATTGATGACAGCACCAACAGGCAAACCAAGTGAGATACGAAACTTGGCTCCGGCGGAACCACCACGTCCTAAAAAAATACATTAAATTTTAATACATTACAAAAAATATCAACCACACACTCGCCACAAGCACATTTATTTTCATATGAAAATAATGTGTTTGTGTACTAGATAAAATGAACGCTTGGGCGTTACGATTGAATTTATTTTATTTTAAAACGATACAAATACTTTAAAAGAAGTCTTTTTATTAATATAAAAATATTTGATTTACCTCTTTTGGACATAGTGTTTAGTTAGATGTACGACAAAATAAAAATTAACACTGACAGGAAATTTGTGTTAAAGCACACGAGATAACCTAACAATACAACGACAACGAAAGACAGGATAGCTGGGCTTTGACAGTGAAGGCAACTAAACGATCGTAAATTTCTCCCACCAGCAAAATAACGATAGCGCTACCTACCTTATAGAACGACGCGCAATTCAAACGTTAGCAAAATAATATTTTTTGTTGACCATATAAAATTCTTTCAATTTTTTTTAAAGTATTTTCAAACTTGTTTTTAATAAATTCAATGATTAATAATTATCACTTTGATTAAACTAACATGAAAAAATTTTAATAGCTTTTCATTTACAAATTAAATATATTAAAAACAAATTAAAATTATTACTAATTTTATAAAAACATTACAATGTAAAGTTTATTTTGATGTAATATATTACCAGTCTATATACATAATAATAATTCATCATTTACTATTATTTTGTATGACTTTTAAACCATGAAAACACTTTGAATTCTAACATTTGAATTATGACTAAATTTTCGGTTAGTTTTGCTTTTGATTATTTATAAAATAATACTTTTAAACATTGATGTGTAGGTTCTGATATATACATACATACTAAATATAAACTTAATTTAAGTGATTAATAGGCATTTAAACAAATATTATTATAAAATTTGTAATATTAAACTTGAATTAATCATCAATAATATATATTAATAGATAATTGAAAGAAACAATATAATGTTTCTTAATTTATATTTTTTTAAATAAATAAAACATTAAATTTAACAAAACGTCATTTTCACTACTGCAGAATGCACAGCAAGAGAATTCAAATGTCACAGTTCAAAAACATGTATAAGCAAAAATCTTCAGTGCAATGGTATCTATAATTGCCAGGATCTTTCAGATGAACTTAACTGTAGCAGTACGTTAAAAATTAAAAATAACAATGATTATGGCTAAATGGGCTTATGTTTATTTTTAATTATGACACGTTCAACTGCTTATGGATTATTATGAAGTTCAATTTTACTTTAAACTTATTATCTAAAAAATATTTTTCTTTCACTTTATTCTCACAACACACTGATACCATGGCCTTAAGTTATTTAATAGATTACACCTCCTTAATTTAATTTAAATAACAATATATTTTATGTTCAGCGACTATTAAGTGGCCCAGCTAGCTCAGTCGTTAACGTATCGCATGCCTCAGTACCTAGTACGATTATCTTACACGGTTATCTACTGATACATAGGTACAGGGGTTTGATTCCGTTACGCTGGGGTATGTAGGTTATTCTGTTCTCTCTGACAATGTAATAGCATTAGAGAAAACGTTAAACATAATAATGAATATTTATTATATTACAAAAATTATTTCTTGACTACAAATATATCTGAAACTTTTAAACCACTTATTGTTTTTATATTGTGGTATAATATTTATGTTATATTTATATACTATTAAATTGAAAGCAAAACTTACATTCTACCTATAGTTTACCTTAATAATGACAAAACTTAATAATTATAGTTCACTGTATATTTATTTATATTTATTAACCACCCACGATTAAAATAACGCATTTTATTTAGAAATTTAATTACACAGACAAATTAAATTTTATTACTACTCAAACGTGTTTTAAAAAAATTAGATTCTATTTATGGTTTTTTAAACACAGGTCCATTACAACATTCAGATGACCAATTTTTTTTTTATTAGTTTTTAATAATATTTGAAAATAATTAGTTAACAATCTTAACTTCTGGGTATATACTCGGAAACAAACATATTATGTTTGATTCTTGGAAAATTTAAAACAAAGTAGATATTTGAATGTAGTTCTGGGCCTATTAATTAGTGAAATACACATGTTAATAACTATTAACTAATAACTATTAACATTAACATGACTATTAACATGTGTATTTCACATATTATATGTTTAACACTGAAAATAATAGTTTCACATAATTGGTATTTATCTGAAATATGCACTCGGACGCTTTTATGTTTTAATATTGTTTTGTGATCGTCTCTCTATAAAATATTTTTGTCAAATAATGGGATACTAATTTTAAAGTAAACACCAATTTAATATATTTTTTTATTTTATTAAAGATGAATGTCAGACTAACCAATTTCAATGTCGAAGTGACCGGCGATGTATTGAAAACAGGCAGAGATGTGATCGATATTCCGACTGTAGTGACAATTCTGACGAAGAAGACTGCGGTAAAACTACGAAATTCAAGTTTTTCTATGAAAGATATTTACATATTACTGCTACTGAATGTTTACAGATAATAACTGTGGTAATGAAGAGTTCCAATGTCACGATGGAAAATGTTTAAACATTGACAAAAGATGTAATGGAAAAGTTGAATGTAATGGAGGTGAAGATGAAGCAAATTGTGAATTGCCTGTTGATCCAAACTTAGGTAATATATGCTACCGATATAAGATTTTAATTCCTTAGTAGGTTTCATAGATAATTTGTTTTACTTTGGATTTCATTTAAGTTTACTTCATAAAATATAAACATTTTTGAGATACGTAGGATTATAATAATAGTTCAATAAGTTTTCCCCAACATTTTGTTTATTAAAACTAGAATTAATTAAATCATCTATTTCAAAATATTTTTTACTAAAACGATAAGGTGATGGTCTTAAATCTCTAATAACTCCAATAAATGTACAAAAATAGACATATTAAGTTGCACCACCAACTTTTGTACTTAAATTGTAACTCTGGAATAACTTGCAGCTTACATTTTTATAGTGTAAAGTGTTTTTTAAATTTGCACAAACAATTTTTTTACATAGAAATATTTAAAAATTAAAATATTGGATTTTATTGTATCATTTGAACATAGACGTACACGAGGGCCATATAGACACTTATAAATATATAAAAAAAATTTTTTCATTAAATGAAACAAAAAAAACCATATATGGTATAATTAATATAAATTTTAAAATGTTTATGTAATTATAACTGGTTAAATCAGAAATGGGGCAAAGTTTGTTTAATGGATAAAATATTAATATCTAAATTTACGTACGCCTATGCATTTAAGATTAGTTATTATGTAGTCACACAAATTGTAAGCTTTGTTGTAGTTAGTATAAACTCACTGAGTGTGTTATTGAAATGTCTATTAAAATTTACATTTCAAGCTATTTTATTAATATTTAATTTAAATTTAAAAAATAAACTTTTCCAAAAAAAAAAAATGATTTTATTCTAAAAGGTTGGAAATAATTATTAGTAATTGTAAGTATAATTTTCAATTTAATTTGGTTATTTTTTACAATTTCTATGACCTTTTTTTATTAAAAATAAATAAATACTTTCTTACATATTTGTATCTTATAAATAAAGTAAATGTTAATTTTTCATTAAGCATAAATATTTCAAATTGAAATATGATTTCATCTCAAATAAAAAAACTAATAAAGGTATTTTTATAATATAACTACAGAATAAAATTTAATTTCATCGTACAAGTTCACAAAATATACTTAATGTATTTTACTTAAAAATAAATTAAAAACTATTTAAAACGAAAAAACACAATATATAAATTTATAAATTTATACAAATATACTAAATAAATGCAATAAATTCACGTGTAAATGTTTGCTTCATGTATCACATTACTTATTAACTGTGATTTGTTTTACGTGTTGTCTAAAATAATATCTACACTTTAATCTTGTCTTACTTTATAATTATGTTATGCTCTAATTCACTTGTCGCACGCTTCAATATATTAATTGTACACAGACCCCACGCTAATTGCACCATGTGGCGAATCAGATTTTACATGTAATGACAAGAGTTGCATACCCCTATCGAGGGCTTGTAACGGTCGGGCGGATTGTCCAGAAGCGGAAGACGAACAAAATTGCTCAAACGGTAAACTAATTCACTCACCCTCCACTCATATTGCTTTAATCTGCCATACATGAATCTATCTATTTTAATTGTATATAGTGCTAAGATACACTAATTTTTTTAATCAATAACACATCATATATTTTGCTAACATATCTGTGCACTATAGTATTATTGGGTAGTTTTGTATTGTAATTTTGTAATTTTTTGTGGCTTTTTGTGTAATATCGCTGTGTAGACATCACTGAACCATCTACGCCTTCTTGGTGGACCACAACATCCACACCACCAGTCAGAAAGCCTCTACCACCTGTAATTCCTTGTTTGTCCAATGAATTTCAATGCCATGATGGCAAATGTGTGAACAGCAATTATCGCTGTGATGGTATTACCGACTGTAATGATAAAAGTGATGAATTGAATTGCAGTAAGTATATGATAACAATACGATGTCCTAGGTATAAAAGGATATCGTTTTCATCAAAATATGTACCTTCGAAAGAGTTCCCAATACATTTTCTTTATTTTTTCTCTATGTCATTCTTGCATTAAAATTGTGTTGCTCATCAAACCTTGAAAACCAGATGCGAATACAGAAAAATATTTCTTTAAAAATCTTATAATAGTCCTAATTTAAGTTTTGAAATTTAAATACTTAAAATTGTATAGTTCTATAATAAGTTTGAACAATAAAAATTTAAAAGAATCAAGTAATAATTCATATTTGAATTCTTTATACATTAGAGTGTTAATCAGTTACTTAAATATTCTTAACAAAAATCTAATATAATTCATAAGTTTAGCATTATCATCTTCCTACTACTAAAAAAAAAAAGAATCATACATATCTATTAACCAATAATGGCTGTTAAAAAATAACAAATTTATTAAAGAAAGATATATTTTAAAAGTATTAGAATATATCTTTCTTCTTTTTAGACTAAAAGGTTTTTGAATAATTAATCAATAATCAATAATTTTGAATAATATTATACATTATTATTATTATTGAGTATATGTATAAGATATTAACACCTTTCCTGAAAACTTGATTTTTACTAAATAAATAGTATTACATAATTGTTTTAATTTAGAGTATTTCGTTCATTCATGCAATAGTTTGAATAACGATGATTTAAAATATTTTTTTGGGTTTCAACAGAAAAATGTATATATTATATATGAATTAACTGATTTATTAATTTATTATTATAGGGCCAACTACTTCAACTACTACTACCTTGCGTCCACTTCCGCCAGTAACTAATTCCAGTATTTTCACACGTCCCTCGTATCCTACAGAATCATCTTTATACGTAACATGCAATTGGAATGAATTTGCCTGTCGAAATAGAAAACAATGTATTCCAAGAGCGGCACAATGCAATAATAGAATTGATTGTTACGACTATTCAGACGAAGAAAATTGCAGTGAGTATTTTATTTTCATATAATATTTAAAAACCTTTAAAAAAACATTCAAGAATTATTTAGGATTTTCGAAAAAGAATTTTTTCGACCACAATTAATTTTACTCTAGAATAATAATTAATGTCTTGCAATCTTAAAAAAAAATATCATAATTATTATTAATATTTCACAAACAATATATTTGTGGTTATTACTAAGTAACATAATACAGTAAACTAAATGCTAAATTATTACTACTATTTTATAGATACAGCTGCTGAAGGACTGAACTTGAAAACTTACCCCAATGAACAGTCAATTAAAGAAAGTGAGTATTTTTTGATTACTTTACTGTTTCTACAGTAAAAAAGAAGTACTTGATCATTGTACTATCTCCACCCTCTGTAAATTAATTGAAAATCGCCTATATTTTGCTGAATGTATAATAGCTCAAATATTTATTAACAATTTTACACTTTAGGGTAATTGCAAAATAATTGCACTTCAATATATTTTATTTTAATATGTTTCAAGTATTCATATTTATTATAAACATCTTGAAATTTTATCATACAAACAATTAAGTTCACATTTAACATAAAAAGAAAATATAACTGATTATTTCTCAGAAACAGATAAAAGGCTAAAAAAAATAGTCAATATCACGATTCCCGTTAAACTGTAACCAAATTTTATTTTTAAAATTTCATTTGTTCAATTAGCTATAGTAGAAAATAAACGGTATAAATCCAAACGGAGTAAATCATTACTTTTGTTATTATATTTAAATGTATAATATTTAAAATTGAATAAGTGTTATTTATTACCTATTTATTAACGCACATTTTTATTTTTGTTTTTTTTTCCCAAACGCACTCTAATTCTCCTTGATAGCAACCAAAGGTAAGAAAGTTTATAGGCAATACTAATTGTTGGTGTTGTGATTCATACATTTGTAACTTGTAAACGTTCTTTCTTGAGCATTATAAATATGCATGAAATTTGATATCTCTGTGATGCATGTTCTAATAACCCAGCAATTTGAATTTTCAAATAATTTTTATTGAAATAAAAGTATACTTTTATTTTATTTTATAATTTTAGTATCTTAAATATGTCATTTTCAAAGAAAATTACTAATTTATCTTAAAATTTATTTTTTATTTTTACCTAATTATTTATAATTATTATACTTATTCATTTATCATTTAGTTGGTTTAATACTCATGTGGTGATTAGTGTTTTCATAAAAAGTTATTAGTTATTAAAATTACTATTTTTCATTTTTGGTTGCGCGCATGTTCTTTATATTTGCTTCGGGTATAAAAACACTTAATAGAATTTTATGTATAAAACAATTGATATTTTGTGTATAGACAGAGAAGTAGTGTTCCAATGTAGAGACGAAGGTATTTTAAGGGCTCCTGTTCGATGGACTCGTGGAAACGGTCAGTTCTTACCACCTGGATCCAGAGATATTAATGGCCGACTTGAAATGCCTAACATTAAGGTAATTAGTACTATTTATTTTTATTTAATATATAATATTATTAAATTTGATTGTTTCCAAAGGTTGAACATAGTGGCACATACATATGTGAAGCAGTTGGTTTTGCCGCCTCAGATTCTGGCGCACGCGTATCTGTGTACCTCAACGTAGAACCATGTGAGTAGACCACCTTCCACTTATAAAATTACTTTAAAAAATTCTTAGATATTTTAATAAGAATTTATTATCTTAAGCTGCTAGGAAAAATAAATCTATAATTCCTTTTATAAATGGTAAATGGAAATTAGGTTTGCTTTCCATGGGTAATATCAACTTTCATTCAGGTATTGCTATATTAAATCATTTTATAATCAACATTTTCTTTAAAATTAATACATAATGATATATAAATAAACTTTTTTTTTTGGCTTCCTTTTTAACAAAATATTGGTGTAAGTATATTTTTTATAAAAAAGTAAATTTCCATGGATTATTTTCTAAAAGCTGATAAGTCATCAAATATGGGTGTTTTTGTGGTTTAATTGCACTAAAAAATAATAAGTCACATTTTTTTTTTTCAAAAATATTAATTTGCATCACTTAAAATTTTTGTTTTTTCAATCCAAAAAAAAAGTATAATTAACTTATCGGTTTTTAAAATATAGCCATAAATATACTTTATATAAAATAAATATTAAAAATTGCTATTATAAAATCTATATAATTTTTATTATATTTTTTTAGGGGTTGATCCAACTTCTGCGCCATTACCAGCTTGTGGTATTAATGAAGCTACATGTACAAACAGAGAATGTATACCAAAAAATAAAGTTTGCGATGGCCATGCTGATTGTTCAGATGGATCAGATGAAAACCGTTGCAGTATGTTAAAATCAAAATACATTGATATAAAAATAAATTATTCACTGATTTTTTTTTTAAAGGCATGTTTGGCTGTCAACCAAATGAGTTCCGTTGTAGTAATAAAAAGTGTATTTTAAAAACTTGGGTCTGCGATGGTCAAGATGATTGTGGTGATAACTTTGATGAACTAAATTGCAATCAAAGAAGAAATGGTATACTATTATTTTATTTTTTATTTTTTTACGCAATAATAATTATATAGCTTAACTTTATGTATTTTTTATTTTATTATGGTATTAGGTTCTAGATGTTTGATCAGTGAATTTGAATGCCGAGATAAGCAATGTATTCCTAGTTCATTTCAATGTGATTCTCAACCTGATTGTAATGATGGAAGTGATGAGTTTGGATGTCGTTAGTTCTGATTATTAAAAAATTTAATATTTCTGTATTAAAATAATTTTTTGATTCCTAGGACCAGTACAATTCCAAACTCCACCAAAACCATTAGTAACTTTGGATATAGGTTCAGAATTTATTATAACTTGTAGAGCAATCGGAGTTCCAGTTCCAGAAATATCATGGAGGCTTAACTGGGGACACGTACCATCTAAATGTGTGATGACCAGTGTCGATGGTTATGGTACACTTAAATGTCCTGATATTCAAGTATGTTCTTCAAATAATTTTTAACCAAATAAGACTAATATAATCAAACTTCTCAGGAAGCAGATCAAGGCGCTTATAGTTGTGAAGGTATTAACATTCATGGTTCAGAAATAGCAGTTCCGGATACAATTTTGGTAGTAAAACCAATTGGAAAACCAACCTCATGTTCAACAGGAACATTTAATGATATTGCATTATCAAAACAAGACTGTGTCAATTGTTTCTGCTTCGGAATAACATCAAATTGTAGAAGTTCAAAACTTTTCAAAATCCAAGTATTTTTTAATAAATAGTTTTAATAATATATATATTTTTTATAATTTTATTATTTTATAGAATAAACCAACTATAAATTTATTCCGATTACTCAGCGTCCATGTCGAACCAACAACCTTAAAAGTAGATATAAAAACTGATGGTCCAACTTTACAAATTAATTCAAATCGAAATGAAGTTTTGCAAGTGTTTTCTGTTAGCGACACCAGTGCCGAAAATACACATCCATATTTCAGATTTCCAGAAAATTATTTAGGAAACCAACTAAAATCATATGGTGGATTTATATCATATACTATTAGATACGAAGGAGAAGGAGAATATCTCAAGTTTTTTGTTCCTGATTTGATATTGATGGTAATTTTTAAATAAGTATATACGTAATTGTATACATTCCAAATTAATTAATCTAGAATTTTCAAGTTTTACTTATTCATTTTTTACTGTATATATTTTCATTTATAGGGTAATGGTCATACACTCGTATACTTTGCACCAGAAATACAAAAAGGTGTTAACACAGTAATATCTGTAAGTTTAACAGCAAACAATTTGCAAAAAGTAACGAATGACTATTCAAGAGTAACTCCTGCAACAAGAGAAGATATAATGATGGTTCTAGCAAATATCGATCATATATTAATAAAGTACTCTATATTTAAGTTATAGAAAATTTTGCATTAAAAACATATTAAAATATTTTATTTTATTTTTTTTTTTAAGAGGTCAATATATGACGCAACAAACGGAAATAAATATTGAAAATGTTAAAATGGACTCGGCTCAAACTCAATTTTATTCAAGCGATCGTGTAGTTCTTATTGAAGAATGCCAATGCCCAGCTGGTTACACTGGACTGTCTTGTGAGGTAATAATACAATACATTGTAATAATGAAATTTAGAAAATATATCAAAACTCGTGTAATGTGTCAAATAAAATTATAAAGTTATTCAAAATTCTATAGTTTTAGTATTCCTCCAATCCCTTCTAAATAATGAATATAATATACATGTACATTAGAGTGGATCAAAAAAATTCGATCTTCGAAATTTTAATGAGAACAATTTTAAATTAATTAAATACATTAAAATAGGTATTTTGTAAAGATTTGAGATTTTTAAAAACAATTTTACTGGTAGCTCAACGTGTTTTTAGTATTTTGACTAAAAATACCCTAAAAAACAAAAAACGACCTCCGTTATTCAATTTTTGGCCAAATAATATGATTAGTATATGAAAATAGTTTGAATTTACTGTAGAATATAATTTTTTCAGTTTCAAAATTTTAAGTTAAAAATTGATAGTGTGGATATCATAATTAGCTTCATGGTATATCTTAAATAGATTTCAAGTAAACTTAAATTTTTTTTTTTTATGTAGTTTGGCTGATATTATTGTATATTATAAGTAAAAAATGTTTTAAAAATCTCAAATCTTCACAAAATGCCTATTTTAATGTATATAATAAAGTTAATGTGGTTCTCATTAAAATTTCGAAGATGGACTTTATTTTATTCACCCTAATTATTATATCATGTTTTAGAGGCATTTGAAATTCTAGATATTATGTTTTCACCGATCTATTAACTAATAAAAATCAATCTAACAATACGTGAAATATAGGCATTTATCAGTTTGTTACTTAATTTCAGAAATATTTTTTTAAAGGAAAAATTTGTATAAATAATTTTTCTTATCAAACCTAATTTGAAGCAGCCCGCCGAAGTTTTTTTATAACTTGCTGTTAAAGTCTAAATCTGATGATTAATTTAAGTAGAAGGAGAAATCGAAATTGTCAAATTATTAACTGTAAGTTATTTTTATGTTATTTTAGAGTTGTGCACCAGGTTATGTTCGTGTTCAACAAGGTTCATGGTTAGGACAATGTGTGAAAGAAGAACCTGTGTGCTCTACAGGAACCTATGGAGATCCACTAAGAGGCATTCCTTGTAGACTTTGTCCTTGTCCATTAACTTCACCAGGCAATCAGTATGTTTTATATAATGTTTATTTCTTCAACTAAAATATTTTAATTTTATGAATATCGTAGATTCGGTAGAAATTGTTATTTAGATACTGATGGTTCTCCTACTTGTAATTGTATTGATGGATATGTTGGACGCAGATGTGAACAGTGTGCTATTGGCTACTCTGGAAATCCATTAATACCAGGAGACAGCTGTAAAGCGGGTAATAAAATTTATAATTTTCAATTAACTACATTAAACATAATATCTATATATGATTGACAGGCATATGTGATAATGCTGGATCATTATCTCCATTTCCTGATGCAAGTACTGGACAATGCGTATGTAAGGTAAGTTTTCACAAATATTTTCTCCATATATAATAATTAATTAAAATGAAATTATTATTTTAACCATTGCTACCTATAATGTTTGGTTTAAACGGTAAGCGATATTAGTTTTTTTTTTTTTTTTTTAATGTATTTTGTAAATTAATTATTTTAAAAATATAATATAAAAACTCTGAAAATTAAATTTGTACTTAGGAATATGCAACTGGTGATCAATGTAAACAATGTAAGTCTAACACATTCAATTTGTCACCTAGTAATCAATTCGGGTGTATAAGTTGCTTCTGTATGGGTATAACCAATCAATGCTCTAGTTCTAGACTTTATAGACAACAGGTAATATCAAAAAAATGTATATATTTTCTATAATAAATATGATCATTTCATTCAACAGATAAGTACATCTTTATCGAGAAGTAATACAGAAGTTATACTAGTCGAACGTGGGAAATACTGGATTCCATTACCAAGTCCAATTATTGATGCTAATGCTTCAGAAATCATTTACACTGACTTTGCACCAAACAGTCAAGACGTAAGTAATAATTTTACCTTAACATTAAAACTCTAAATCAATATTTGTGAAAATTCTAGGTTTATTATTGGGTATTACCACCACGTTTTCTTAGTGATAAAATTACATCATATGGCGGTATTCTTACTTATACTTTAAGATATGTACCAGTACCCGGAGGCCAGTCATCCAGAAATAGCGCACCAGATATTGAACTAATTAGTGTAAGATACTTACATTTGCTATTACACAGCAAATCATTAAATATTTAAAATTGTATTTACTATATCTTTTTGTTAATTTCTTAGGAAAATAAAATCAGACTACTTCATTACACTAGCGAAACATACATCGAACCAAATACTATGAAAACTATGTCTGTAAAATTTTTAGAACAATACTGGCAACGACCAGATGGTCAAGTAACCAACCGTGAACACTTATTGATGGCCTTAGCTAACCTCAAATTTATATTGATCAAAGCCTCCTACACCACTGGAACCAAAGAAGTGGCGTATGTATTAAACATATTCATGAAATAAACAAAAATAATTTATTTTTATATCATTTTTATTTTAAGATTCCGAAGGGCAACACTGGATATAGCTGAACCTACTAACACAGGTCAAAGTCGAGCGGTAGAAGTAGAAGAATGTGTTTGTCCAGAAGGTTATAAGGGCCTATCATGCGAAGATTGTGACGTAGGGTACACTAGGAATGGCGGTCAAGGTCTTTATCTTGGAATATGTGAACCATGTTCATGTAATGGAAATTCAAATCATTGTGATAAGGATACTGGGACTTGTATAGATTGTCAAAATCACTCAACTGGCGAACAATGTGAAAAATGTTTACCTGGATATGTTGGAAACCCAGAAAAGGGAGAACCATGTGTACCTACTGCTCAATTACCAGTTTGTGAATGTGATCAACGTGGAACTATTTTACCTTGTCGAGATGAAAAATGTATCTGTAAAGTAAGTTAAAAATATTAATATTACATAAAATAAACAACACACGATTTCTTTTTATTAATATAATACTGGTACTATTGTTATTAGACCAATGTTGTTGGACCACGCTGTAACCACTGCAGACCTGGTACATTTGACCTACAAGATAAATATCCACAGGGTTGTTTAGAATGCTTCTGTTCTGGTGCTACTCGTGACTGTTTCCCATCAAATTTCTTTACTACACAAATCCCAATGCCATTGCTTGGACCAAATCATGGTTTCACTTTGACGGATAGGTTCGGAGTTATTACAAAACATTTTTTATATGAATGTGTTAAAGCTTTCATGGACTGTCGTATAGCTTAAAATGTTTACGGATGTATCTACGTTTTTAGTTATAAGCTGACGTTTCGAACTCGTTGCAGAATCCATTTTCAGAGCGATAGTTACAAGCTCATGTTTGTAATTATACTATTACGTGGATATATCCGTATACATTTCATGTAATATTTTTCATAATATTATTATTAAAATTTCTTTAATAGGGTGAGAAGTAAATACATAAAAACTGGATTCATAACCGATTTAGCAAGAAATGAAATTGGATATGATTACACACCTAATCGTGGAGAGTCACTTTATTGGTCATTACCATCTACATTCACTGGGAATAAAGTAAGAATATTTAAATATATAATTCGTGAAATAATACCTAATGACAATTCTATTTTCAATAAGGTAACGTCGTACGGAGGTTTCTTAAACTGGACTCAACGATACACTACACTTCCTGGATCTATTATGCGTGATGATACTGATGTTGTTTTGATTGGGAATGGTATTTGGTTATTTAAAACTAACGATAAAAAAATCCAGCCTGACGAACCAATAGTAAAATTAATTTTACTAAATTTCTGTATAATAAATTTAAATATATGATTTTATTTAATTTAGATATTGAGTGCTCATTTAATAGAAACAGGATGGCGTCGATTAGTTTCGTCAGGCCCTCAGCCAGCATCTAGAGCAGATCTTATGAAAGTATTATCGTCTATTGAAGCTATTCTAATTAGAGCCATTCATGCAACTCAAACTGGCAGAACATACCTCAGTGATATTAGCTTAGATACTTCTATTGAATTTAGCACAACTAGTGAACATGCTTCCGCTGTCGAAATCTGTAGATGTCCTATTGGCTATAGAGGAACTTCTTGTGAAGTATTTTAAAATTTTATTTTCTTTATTATATAATATAAATTAAATTATAATTATGATATTTATCTCAGACTTGTAGCTCAGGATACTACAAGGATTCTAATGAAAAATGTACAAGATGTCCTTGCAACTCAAATGAAGGATCTTGTTTACTTGGTCCAGACTCAAGAGTTATCTGTAACTGTTTACCTGGATTTACTGGCAACGACTGCAATATTTTAGGTTCGTAAAATATTAAGGATTTATAATTAAAAATCTTAAATCTTATTTAATAACCAAATTGTAAATTTACAAAAACCGGTAAATGCACATACAAATTTAAGTATTTAGACAATGCACTATTTTATCTTTCAGCACCTAGTATAAATGAAACAAATTCGAGTAGTTTGACGTTGATATCAGGTATTGAATTGAAGCTTATACCAACAAATACTATTGTGAAACCCGTAGGGTCTATTGTTAATTTTACATGTAGCTATAAAAGTGCTACGCCAATGGAAATACACATTGAAGAACGATACGCTGATGATGTGTCCAACACTGTCGTGTTGGACAACAATCAGTACGGGCCTTACAATAATTTTACAAATGGCGCTTCACGCGTTGTATCAGTCCGTATTAAGTCATATTTGACCATGGTAATATGTAGCATACGAAACAGTGATGGGCTACAATTAGGACAAATTTCCACCATTATACGTCCAGGTGCTCTAGACAAATATAAACAATATTGGGTTCTTGAAATCTGTAATTACGCTAATTAATGTTAAGTCTTTCGGGCTCTCTATTCAGTTTCACAAATATTGAATTCTTTAAATATTAACCGGATAAAGATTAAATTCATAATTTATAAAAACCATTTTATATCTAAAACAAAATTGAACAGTATACTGCTAAAAGCAGTATACCGTTTAATTTTTTAATTATGTTTTAAGTTCAAGTTAAATTATTATTTTCGGGTGGGGTAAAAGCTAAAAATTATTTTTCGTAATGTTACGATTTATAAAATTGTGGTAAAAATGATTTTTTATAACCGTTTTTTTTTTACTCAAAATCCTTCTAAAAGTAAAATTTTTGATCAAAAATTTGCTGGTTATATACATTGTAAGAAAGACTCGAGCATCGTCCATAAATACGTCATTTTATTAGAGATTTAGTCTTAAATTATAGAACTGATTTTTTTTTTAGAAAAATACAATATTTCTTTTTGTAAATAGCGACAGTATAAACTTCTATTTTCAAGATCAAGATTTTCTTTATTATGCGGTTCAGAAAGCTTTATAGAATTTAAAGTAGTGGGGAGATTTACCATTTCACTGCCTCTACTATTATGCTTTTATGTCCATGGCGAGGAGGCCTAAATCCCACGGACTCCTCAGTTAATACGCCAATTTTTTTTATTTATCAACCAAGATTTTTTTTTATTGAAAAACAAAAATTAATTCGGGAATTTTTGAGATGTTAACCTGTCCAAAAAGTAGCCTCAACTTTGTATCATCCGAAATTATACCACTAAGTTATAATTGTTGGTTCTTTTTCTATGGAAAGTTACAATACTATCATAGACACAATTTCAATAAAATTTTTGGAGAAACTTAACGTCTGCTCACTAAAATTTATTTTTATTTAATTATATATATAATTTTTCTGCTCCCCTTTTCCAAATTGCTCCTAAGATTTCTATACTTACTATTATTCTAATTGATACTAAATTAAATTTAAAAGTAAATTTAATGATATAAGTAATATTTTAAGTACTTTTTCATATTACTTAATGGTCTAAAACTCATGATAGTAATTTGACCCCTCTTGTCATTCAACACTTTTTTAACTTACTATAACACCTCCAAGTTTCTAACTGACTAGAATATAATTGACAATAATTATGGATACATCTGTATACATTTATATATAATAGGAAAATTTTAATAATGTAATAGATATAAATAAATAGTATAGTGTTTATAATTATTTAACTATATAATACACATACTATATTCTAATACTGTTAATACTAATATTGTATTTATCCAAAGTTTTCACTTGATTAAGAAGGAAACGATCATTACTAATCATACTAATAATACTAACAATGTAAAATTTAATTATAATAATAGTTATTATAACACGCAATAATATTAATATGGATAAATTAATATCTGATATTTTTTTCTTTCATGCTATTTGTCAATTATGAAGTGTCATGGATATAAATAAATAAATAAATAATAATAAGCATTTTAAAATTAAAACCAAATTTTTAGATATTGGACAATCAATAGTACCACCAACAAGGCCGCCGTTACCGCTTCCAGATATTTATGTTCAAGTATCCGAACCTACATTTGAAATAGTGGAAATTGGAGGTTCAGTGACCTTTGTTTGTAAAGCTCAATCTCGTCGGTCAGCGGTAAATTATAAACATAAAAATAACATTTTTTTTTAATAAAGCTTTTTAATAAAAAAAATTATTTTATTTATAATAAATACTATGCATACAGTCGGTTAATATAACTTGGTCAAAAGAAAACGGCTATCTTCCACTAAGACGTTCAAAAGATTCCGGAACTGGCTCCTTACTACTAGTCAATGTTGAACCATCAGATGCTGGAACTTATGTATGTACAGCATCAGATGGATATTCATCATTTTCAGATAAAAAAATCTTAAATGTGAAACGACTCGAAGGTATACTTGATATAAAATTATTTTGACTTAATACAATAACTTAACATTATAAGAAGTAACTTTTACAAATAATGTTAATTAACATTAAAGATGAAAAATGTAAAAAAAATCGATTTTTAATTATTACATCGATTTTTAATATTATTAAAAATAGACAAAACTACTGAAAATCCATCTAACATCTATGTTTCAATATCTGGACCATCCATTGAAAACCTTGAATTAGGAAGTACTGTGAGATTATACTGCACTGCAACATCACAAAAGACTCAAGTATATTTACCAGTTTCTTATTAAATATTTTTTTCGTAATATTTATTACAAATATTAATAATATTAGTAATAATTAATATTTAATATAATTTTTTTTTAATTACCCATTTTATAATTATTTTTCAGGAACCTATTACCATTAAATGGAGTAAAGAGGATGGGGTTTTACCATCAGATAGAGCTATCGACAATGGCAAAGGATTACTACAAATAATTAATGTCAATTATTATGATTCAGGAAATTTCGTTTGCACAGCTTCAAGTGGATTTACATCTGTTAGTTCAAAAAAAAATATTATTGTTGGAGGTAGTTATCAAAATATTTATTCATTCTTAAATATCAATTTATTATTTAAATAAACTAACTACTTTTTAAACTATTGATATAGAATTGCGTAAGGATTTTCATCCACCTGGTAATTTTTACAATGTTATTTTTCATATTCAAATTTTTGCAACACAAATTTAGATCATGATATATTTCTAAAAAAAAAAAGAATTCAAAGCATGTTACATTAATTTTTTTTTTAATTATAAAAACTTAAAATAAGCAGTTGAGCCTTATATTAAACCAAAGATTCAAGTTCTAAAGGAAATAAAAGATCTAAACAAGCAAAATAACATATTTTCTACATGATTACAATTTGAATTAATTATGAATCTTGTATTATAATAATAAATTATTCTTGTTTAAGTATATTATATTTATATATTATAAATTAATACAATTTCATTAAAATCATAGCCTTAATGATAATAATTTGTCATTTTATTGTGATTTATTTTGATGTAATTAACTTTTTTTTTAGCTAATATACCGGCTAAACCTAGAGTTATTATCTCACCAAGATATTTAGAGTTATATATTGGTCAACCAGCAGAGTTTAAATGTCAGTCTACTGGAGGTTATGTTCAGATAGAGTGGTATCGTGGATTAAATCAACCCTTCAACCCATCTGTGAGCATAAAAACATACAATTAAATTCAATAAACATACAATAAAAATACCATTTTACTATTCATTTTCTAGTATACATCCTCGGATGGTATATTACGTATTCCTGCTGTTCAACTAGCAGATCAAGGCACATATTTCTGTAGAGCTACCAACAATAATAATGAAACTGACTCTCAAAGAGTATCAATAAACATAATACGTAATTGAATAAAACACATAAATCTACAACTAATAAATAATAAAAGTTTAATCAATGAATAGTTTGTTTAATTTTTCAATTTTATCTTACATATAGGTACAGATACAAGTACAAATGGACCAAATGAGTTATTAGCACTTACAATTAATCCACCACAATATTCAGGACCAGGCGATGAAGTACGTTTTCAATGTACAATTTCAGATGAAACACAATATGTATTAAAATGGAGTAGACCTGGTGATCAACCTTTACCCTATGGATCTGCACAGACAGGCGGGGAATTAATCTTACGTAATCTCCGACAAAACGATGCTGGAGCATACATATGCTCAGCAATTTCATTACGAACCGGTGCTATAGAATCTGAAATTGAAGCCTCAGTTTATGTATTAAAATCTAGGTAAAAAATTATCGTTATAATAATTTAAAAAAAAACCCAGCACAGCGGGGTCGCGGCACAGTGGTGACGTGGCATAGATGGATCAAGTATAATGATATCTGACAGTGATTAAAATCACTATAAAAAAAAAACGCTTCGATGCAAATCTTTAGATAGTGTTTAATTTTAAAAAATTGGTGGATTATTCCAAAAGCTACACGATCTGCTAGTTCATTATTAATATCCTAATTAAGATAAAGTATGTCGAATGAAAAAGGGATTATTAAAAAATATTATTTCTCATAAAAAAATAATGTTGATCCATACACTTTTCAATATGTCATAGCATTATAAAGTTAAAAATGTAAAAAATAAAATCGAGAATTTTCACATAATAATAGCATTCGGTAGCCATTTTCACCGTGAAGATAAAATAAAGTCCGAAATTTTTTTTTCGCATAATAAAGTAAATTACATTAGCTTTAATTTAAGATATATATAAAAGTGTCAGACTTTCCGGAACACTTTCAAAATTTAAGTTGAAAAAGTTAATTTTTTGTGAAAAAGTTGTCATTTTAAATCCCCCCCTGTGGGCAGGTAAAGGGTCAGATATAAAAAAAATATATACCAAATGATAGGTAAAGACATCATGCATCTATAAAAAAAAAATTATATTGATCCATACATCTTTCAAAAAGTTATAGCATTATAAAGTTAAAAATATAAAAAAGAATTTTTTTACAAAAATCGTATTTGTGTTTTTTAAATTTGATGTCTGTTTTCACCATGAAGATAAAATAAAGTCCGAAATATTTTTTACCATTATAAAGTATATTACATTAGCTTTAATTTAAGATATATATAAAAGTGTCAGACCTTCCGGAACATTTTCAAAAGTTAAGTTGAAAAAGTTAATTTTTTGTGAAAAAGTTGTCATTTTAAATCCCCCCCTGTGGGCAGGTTAAGTGTCAGATTTACAAAAAAAATATACCAAATGATAAGTAAAGACATCAAGCATCTATATAAAAAAAAATTATATTGATATGTTCATTTTTGAAAAAGTTAGAGCATTATTAAGTTAAAAATATAAAAAAAAATTATTTTACAAAAATCGTAATTTTTTATTAACTTTGATGTCAACTTTCACCACGAAGACAAGTCCAGAGGTCAAATTTTTTTTTTTCAAATTAAAGTATATTACATTAGCTTTAATTTAAGATATATATAAAAGTGTCAGACCTTCCGGAACATTTTCAAAAGTTAAGTTGAAAAAGTTAATTTTTTGTGAAAAAGTTGTCATTTTAAATCCCCCCCTGTGGGCAGGTTAAGTGTCAGATTTACAAAAAAAATATACCAAATGATAGGTAAAGACATCAAGCATCTATATAAAAAAAAATTATATTGATATGTTCATTTTTGAAAAAGTTACGGCAGTTTTTAGTAAAAAAAATTGAAAAAATTTCGAAAATTAGCGATTTTTAAATTTGTAATTTTTTTGGAGGTTTCCCCCATTTACGGGGAACGAGGGAAATTTTTTCAATTTTGAAGGGTAATGTCTTCGACTAGATACGATTTGTGATCTTTTGACGTATCGTTGAAAGAAATCCGTTCGGTGAGAGCTGAGAAAAAGTGGTAACAGACACAAAAAAAAAAAAAACATCATGGTAAAATTAATACCTTCTCCGCTTCGCATCGAAGCTAAAACCCAGCATAGTAGGGTCGCAGCATAGTGGGGACGTGATATAGTTGAGTTCTTCAGTATAGATTTAATCTGATAGTGATTAAAATCACTATTATAAAAAACGCTTCGATGCAAATCTGTAAATAGTGTTTAATTTAAAAAAATTGGTGGATTATTCCAAAAGCTACATGATTTGCCATTTCCTTATTAGTATCCTGATTAAGATAAAGTATGACGAATGAAAGNTTAATATCTCGATAAAGATAAAGTATGTCAAATGAAAATGGGTTTATTAAAATATATTATTTCTCATAAAAAAATTGTGTTGATCCATACACTTTTCAATAAGTTATAGCATTATAAAGTTAAAAATGTAAAAAATAAAATTAAGAAAGATATTCACACGAAAATAGCATTCGGTAGCCGTTTTCACCATGAAGACAAGTCCAGAGGTCAAATTTTTTTTTTTCAAATTAAAGTACATTACATTAGCTTTAATTTAAGATATATATAAAAGTGTCAGACCTTCCGGAACATTTTCAAAAGTTAAGTTGAAAAAGTTAATTTTTTGTGAAAAAGTTGTCATTTTAAATCCCCCCCTGTGGGCAGATAAAGTGTCAGATTTACAAAAAAAATATACCAAATGATAAGTAAAGACATCAAGCATCTATATAAAAAAAAATTATATTGATATGTTCATTTTTGAAAAAGTTAGAGCATTATTAAGTTAAAAATATAAAAAAAAATTATTTTACAAAAATCGTAATTTTTTATTAACTTTGATGTCAACTTTCACCACGAAGACAAGTCCAGAGGTCAAATTTTTTTTTTTCAAATTAAAGTATATTACATTAGCTTTAATTTAAGATATATATAAAAGTGTCAGACCTTCCGGAACATTTTCAAAAGTTAAGTTGAAAAAGTTAATTTTTTGTGAAAAAGTTGTCATTTTAAATCCCCCCTTGTGGGCAGGTAAAGGGTCAGATTTATAAAACAAAAATTATATTGATTTGGTCATTTTTGAAAAAGTTATGACAGTTTTAAGAAAAAAAAAATTGAAAATATATCAAAAATTAGAGATTTTTAAATTTGTAATTTTTTTGAAGATTTCCTCCATTTACGGGGAACGAGGGAAATTTTTTCAATATTTGAGGGTAATAATGTCTTCGACTAGATACGAGTTGTGATTTTTTGACGTATCGTTGAAAGAAATCCGTCCAGTGAGAGCTGAGAAAAAGTGGTAACAGACACAAAAAAAAACACATGATAGTAAAATTAATACCTTCTCAGCTTCGCATCAAAGCTAAGAATAATGGTTAATTTAAAATTTTTTATTTTTATTTAATGTAGAAATCCACCAAACTTGCGAATTGATCCAGAAAAACAAATGGTTGCACAAGGTACTTCTGCTGAGTTCCGGTGCTTCTCTACTTCTGATCCTAACATCAAAATAGAATGGATTAAAATTCATGAAGAATTGCCGTCTTACGCTCAAGTCAGTATTTTACATCATTGGATTTAATTTATCTAAATTATCCTTAACGTTTTGCTATACATCAATAGATTATCGGATCGTCTCTAAAAATTCCATCTGCACAAATTAAAGATCGTGGTATATACATGTGCAAAGCATCAAATGAAGCTGGAGCAGCACAAGCATCTGCTGTCCTCGATATTGAACGTAAGTATTAGTTAATACTAATGTATATACTAATAATGTATATTAATAATATGAATATAACTATTCTCGGATAATTGGTATTAAATTAAATTGGTNGTACTGATCCATACATTTTTCAAAAAGTTATAGCATAATAAAGTTAAAAATGTAAAATACAAAATCGAAAATTTTCACACAGAGATAGCATTCGGTAGCAATTTTCAACGTGAAGATAAAATAAAGTCCGAAATTTTTTTTTTGCATAATAAAGTATATTACATTAGCTTTAATTTAAGATATATATAAAAGTGTCAGACCTTCCGGAACATTTTCAAAAGTTAAGTTGAAAAAGTTAATTTTTTGTGAAAAAGTTGTCATTTTAAATCCCCCCTTGTGGGCAGGTTAAGGGTCAGATTTATAAAACAAAAATTATATTGATTTGGTAATTTTTGAAAAAGTTATGACAGTTTTAAGAAAAAAAAAATTGAAAATATATCAAAAATTAGAGATTTTTAAATTTGTAATTTTTTTGAAGATTTCCTCCATTTACGGGGAACGAGGGAAATTTTTTCAATATTTGAGGGTAATAATGTCTTCGACTAGATACGAGTTGTGATTTTTTGACGTATCGTTGAAAGAAATCCGTCCAGTGAGAGCTGAGAAAAAGTGGTAACAGACACAAAAAAAAACACATGATAGTAAAATTAATACCTTCTCAGCTTCGCATCAAAGCTAAGAATAATGGTTAATTTAAAATTTTTTATTTTTATTTAATGTAGAAATCCACCAAACTTGCGAATTGATCCAGAAAAACAAATGGTTGCACAAGGTACTTCTGCTGAGTTCCGGTGCTTCTCTACTTCTGATCCTAACATCAAAATAGAATGGATTAAAATTCATGAAGAATTGCCGTCTTACGCTCAAGTCAGTATTTTACATCATTGGATTTAATTTATCTAAATTATCCTTAACGTTTTGCTATACATCAATAGATTATCGGATCGTCTCTAAAAATTCCATCTGCACAAATTAAAGATCGTGGTATATACATGTGCAAAGCATCAAATGAAGCTGGAGCAGCACAAGCATCTGCTGTCCTCGATATTGAACGTAAGTATTAGTTAATACTAATGTATATACTAATAATGTATATTAATAATATGAATATAACTATTCTCGGATAATTGGTCAAATTAAATTGTATTAAATTATCTTGACTTAAACTATTTAATCACAATATAAATATGTATAAGATGAGTATAATTGTATCAACATTAGTTATTTTAAATTTAGCTAAATCTAAACATAAAATAATGGATTTTTTAATTTTTAGGAAGAGAACCCCCTGTTATCGAATTATACCCAAACTCTAAGCAAACAGTAACTATTGGTGAAAACGTTTTGTTTCAATGTCGCGTCACTGGTGGTATACCGACACCTGAAGTAAAATGGACTAGACGAAACGGTCAAAGCTTACCCAGTCAAGCAGAAATTATACAAGGTGGAGTTTTAAGGTAATATATTATATACTGGAATACCATATCAAACTAACTTCTAACAAATCTGACAATATAGTTACAACCTTGAACATATCTTTGAAAATGAACTCTGCAATGAGTCCGAAATTTCAGTACTTAACTGAATACATAGATACATCTGAAAACATTTTAAGTAAATCTAACTTCGGTCTTTTTTATCAGATTTATTGGAATGGAAGCTTCGAGTGCAGGAGAATACATATGCGAAGCCTCTAATAACGCTGGCATGACTTCAGCAACAGCCGTTCTAGAAGTACAGTCTGAACCAAAAATTATTTTAATGCCATCAAGTGAAGTTACGATGATGCCAGGAAAACCTATAAGACTGGAGTGTTTGGCCACAGGAAGCCCACCGCCAAGTGTCACGTGGACAAAATTAGATCCAGTTACTTTTTCAGCGCCGTATGTTCATTTTGTATTACAACACTTCAATAATTTTTGTGCGCCAGTATATTTATATCAATAATTTTAATTATATGTCTATTATTTTGTCAGTAGATCTTCTGTACCTATACAAGTGAATAATGCCGTTTATGAAATAAAAAGTGCACAACTATCAGATTCTGGTATATACTCTTGTATAGCTCAAAACAATGCTGGTACTACCGAAGAACGTTTACAACTTACTATTTCTGAAGACTATAATGGTATAACAGAAGGTAATGGACCCAAAGGCCCAGATAGAGGAGATATACCTCCCATTGAAGACCCTTCAATTCCTCCTTACACAAAACCGGATGAAGACCTTGTATATGTTGTTGGAACCAGAGCAGTTTTAACTTGTAATGCTGGTAAGTGAATGCATACTTTTATTGTCAATTTTACTTAACTCATTCAAATATATATACAGGAACATCTAGGGATCGTATAACTTTAACATGGGAAAGAGATGATGGAGTTCCGTTGCCAGAAGAACATGATAGATACGATAATATTCTCGTATTAAGAAACGTACAAAAATCAGATCAAGGCCAGTATAACTGTATTGGTATAGCAACAGGCGGAGGTGGTATTGTCTTTAGAAGACCAGTATTACTGAAAATTGTTGGTAAATGCTTTCTTTATTTTAAATTTTAATAACATTTCTAATTTTTTTGTATAAATATTGTGATTTTATCATGCTAACAGACAAAAATGCAATTTGTGTTACTGGAGGTAAAAACTATTAATTTAACAAATGAGAATTTAATTTTTTATACTCGATCACCAGCTACTAAAACTTTTTTGTTACATTTATAACTCTTCGTTTATTTGAATTCATTTCAGAACCACCGAGAATTATTTTAAATCCGACGAGACAAATAGTAAAACGTGGAGATAACGCTCAGATTATTTGTAGTGCTGAAGGTGATCAACCAATTTCTATTACTTGGTCAAGACTATCAAGTCAAAATTTACCACCAACCGTACAAACAAGTGGACAATATCTTAGGGTAAGATTGTATACTTTGAACTATATGATCAGTGGTAGCTTGGATGACGAAACGATCGCACACCCTTTTTTTTGCTTTAAGGGCCATTAAGGCCTTTTGCAGCTTCTAATAATCCCCTTCAGCTGTCATGGTCAATAGCAGACTCGAAGCTTGCTGTTCCGTCGACCCCTCTTATATCTGTATTGACTCTATCCCGCCATCGTTGCCGAGGACTTCCCTTGGAGCGCTTGCCAGTTGGATTATTTATCAGTACTTTTCAGATTATGCTTCCCTCGGCTCGCCACACATGACCGACGCATTACAGACGCCTGGCTTTTAGGAATAATATAATATTTGGCTTATTATATAGCGTACCCAAATTGGTGTTTTTTCTCATTTCATAATCTTCAATTAATTAATTTCTCACAGGCCCGTATATTTTCCTCAGCATTTTCCCCTCGAAGATAAGAAGCTTCTTCTCATTCCCTTGAGTGTTCGACCACGTCTCACAGGCTTATGCCACTATTAGGCGTAAGTAAACTAAGTACAATTTTTCCTTTATTGCCCATGATAGCATTCTTGAACTTAACAGTTTATTCAGTGAGAAATATGCACAATTCGTCGAGTTTATCCTAAGTTTAATTTCATTGTTCATATCGTTTATATGATTGATATTCACTCCTAAATATTTAAAGTCATCGAACTGTTCAAACATGGGAGGGACTGGTAGATTTAACTATTGAGAAAGAGGTATCGGAGGCTGTGGCATCAATGAAAAAGAATAAAGCAGTGGGACCAGATCAAGGCCAGTTGAAGTATGGAAAATATTAGGCGGTGTTGGCATAAGGTGGTTGAAGGAACTTTTAAATAAAATCTTATTAGAAAGGAAAATACCAAATTAATGGAGGAATAGTATTGTGGTGTTGATATTTAAAGGTAAAGGTGACATACAGGAGTGTGGAAATTATAGAGGCATAAAGCTTATGAGTCATAGTATGAAAATTTGGGAAAAGGTTGATACGATCACATTTGCATGAGCCCATATCTCTGTCTCCCATAACATCGTTGTACCGTTTAATAGACATATATATATATATATATATAACACAGTGACATACAGCAATACTAACAGGAGTGCGGACTGCACACATAAACACTTTTTGCAATTCACGGCCAATGTGCCATAATAAGATATCCCTATCGACAGTTGACATTTTACCATCTTCGCGATCACTACTTTTGCCTGATAATTAACTTAACTTCGCTACCCCGTATATTATAGTGTGTGTGTGTGTGGCCGTCAGCTCCCTGTTGGATTAATCATCTCTAGGTGTCCAGCAGGTTGTATTATCCATTTAATATTTCAATTGCTTAATAAATATTTATTTATATCGTTGTTAACCTAAAGTGTTATATATATATATTGTAGTGCGACCCTTGGTAGTTCCTCTAAGGGAATATAAATTAAATAGGAAACTTCAGTACCTAAGGTAGATATAGCCTAGCCAGCTATCCCCCGTTGGTCCCTTAGAATACTGTCGACGGGCATTTAGGTTAAACCCCTAAATAGCGACGTAACAAGGTAATAGATAAGAGAATAAGAATTGAGACATCGGTATCTAAAAACCAGTTTGGATTTATGACTGGTAAGTCAACAATAGAGCCAGTATTTTGTGTGAGGCAACTAATAGAATAGTTAAGGGAAAAAAAGAAAAAGCTTTGTATGGTATTTATAAATTTGGAGAAAGCGTATGATAGAGTACCAAGAGAGGTTCTAAATTGGGCATTAATGAGAAAAGGAGTCCCGAAAAGGTACATTTATATAATAGAAGATATGTATGATGGCCCTTGTACCAGGGTAAAAAGCGTAGGAGGAGTATCAGAAGGTTTTCGGGTAAGAGTAGGATAGCACCAAGGTTCTGCTTTAAACCCTTACTTATTCTCTATAGTGATGGAGGACAGCTGATGTGAGCGTAGATGATGTGGGAGATCTTGTCAAGTGAAAGTTTAGGATAAGGGTGGCCGACCCCAAGTAGTTGGGATTAAGGCGAGGAAGAAGAAGAAGATCGAACTGTTCAAACGTGTATGGTCTGACCACCAAATCGTTCTTAATAAGCGTGTGGCGTGCCTTTTGAATGTATTTTGTTATTGTTTCATTAATTATAAAGCTTATATTTCGACTGGATGCTATTAATTTTTCAATTGTGTGTACAACCTCCTGGCGACTATTTCCTAATATGCTAACGTCATCCGCATTTTCATTAAGCTCCATTACTCGGTCTTCCCCTATATATCTAACGACTTTTTCAAGATAAAGATTAAAAAATATGGGAGAGAGGGTATCTCCCTGCTTTATCCCTAATTTTACTTCGAGATTTTGCATAGTGTGTTGGAGTTGCTTATGTTAATCATTCTTATAAATTTATTCGAAATACCTAGATTCGTCAAAGCAATCCATAATTGATCTCTATTTATGCTGTCGTAAGCTTGGTTGATATCAACGAAAATCATATAGAGTTTATTATTGTATTCATAGTATTTTTCCATAATTTGTCGAATAGTAAATATATGGTTTGTAGTTGAATTTCGTCTTATAAATCCACTATGGTATTCTTCTATAATATCAGTTGCATATTTCTCTAGTATACTGAGGATAGTCAGAGACAAAACCTTGTAGCTTGTGTCCAAGAGGGAGATTCCTCGGTAAATTTCGACTTACGCCGGGTCTCCCATCTTGAAGATCGGACAGACAACTGTCATACTCCATACATTATAGATTAGTTTATATATTTCAGTTGTTAATTGTTTGCCCGCCACTTTTATTAACTCTAAATTTATATTGTCCTCGCCAGGGGTTTTATTATTTTTTAAAGTATTTTACAGTTTTAACTTCATCCAATCTAGGTACTGTGATTCTTAGCTCCTCTGTATGGTAGATTATTTTTTCATAAGGTGTGATGTTATCTTGCACATTATTTAAAATTTTTTTAGTGTTTATTATGAGGTTTCCTTGATCGACCTTTATTATTGACGATCTTGCTTTATAACCTTCTTTCGCATATTTGCATTTCTCAAAAAATAATCTCGGATTCCTCTTGTATAATTCGATCAGTTTCTTTTCTGTTAATCTTTTACTCTGTCTTAATATTTTACCTGCTTACGATCTTGCATTTTTATAGGCATATATTTTCTCCTGGGTAGCGTTTTGTAACACGTTAATCCTACATAGGGTGCGCTCCTCGATTTCTTTGTGACATTATTTATTAAACCACTTGTTATTTTTCTTCGATCCTAAGACTTGTAAGTTTTCTGTGGATTCTGAGGAAAATATCTGTTGCAGTATAATGTTATTATACTGGACGGTGGGATTGCCATCTTCCCTACGCCAAAAACTGGGATCCGCGGGGTTGTCACGCCCATTACCACTTAATGTACTCCATGCGGGACGATTGCACACCTTACTAAAATAAATTAAAAAAAGAAAATTTATTGTTTATTCTTAATTCTACATTTTTATTAAAAATGCAAATTTTTAAATAGTAAAATAGTTATAATACATTTGTCGTGTGCGAACATTAAAGTTGTTTCTTTCAATATATGCGAGTACGTATACACACGAAAAGTGTTCGGACGACCAGCAATGTAGTCCATACGGTAAAATATTAGTGTATTACTATATTGGGTAATTTGTTTTTAGAATTAATTGGTGGTCGTTATGGGTTGTTATAATAGCATAATCGCTTTTATAATTATTTTATTTTATTTGACAATTTTTTTTACCTATGACTAGCGGTATTATATTTAAAGTCGCATCCTCACCATCAGCACCCACAAACCGCCACTGTATATGATATATAGTTAATACAAAAATAAATATAGATGTAACAAAATTATAAATATTATTACCTAATAATAATTTTAGAATAGTATTAATCTAAATAATAGTTATACAGAATGTTCAATAAATAAGGAAACAGATGAATTGTTGTAAACAATGATGAGAACGATAGAAACCCGTTTCCTTACTTACTAAACACTCTATATATATTTAAAAAAACTAAATATTATTGTCAAAATGATAATAAAATACATACAAGTAGTATTATAGCATTGAAACTTGATTGTTGTAGATAATTCAGTTTCAAAATATTTATCTATTAAATATTTTTAAAAATTAAGAATGAACGTATCATATACCATAAATAAATCGTATGATTAAACTTCGAAATAAATAATGTCTTATTGTAAACTTTACTAAAAGTGTCAGGATACCACTTTCAAGGGACCTTAATGATTTAATTGTTTAGCACATAAAATTAAAATAATCTTCATTAGGATTTAATTTTTATACTACTGTTGAAAATTATAAAAAAAAAAATTATGGGTGTCTTAAGTAATTTAAATTGCGAGTATGAATATATTTAAGTTAAAATTTGTATATTTTAGTTCAACGGTATCACAGAACAAGATGCTGGTAGATATTTGTGTACTGCTATTAATGATTTTGGTAGTGCTGAATCTGTTGCTGAAGTTTTAGTTAACGGTAAATAGAAATATTCTAAAAATTTAGTTCGATGATATTTATTTTATTATAAAATAATTTTTATTATTTTTACATGTAATTTTCATTAGATCACTCAAGAGATATTCCAGCTCAACTCATCAAGGCTTCTGAACATAATCAAAAAGCCTATGAAGGAACTTCCATTCACCTTCGATGTACTGTTCCACAATCATACGAAGTAAGTTTCTCAATTAGCTTAATACAAACTAAAAATTGTTATTATAGTGGATGATATACTATATGATTATTCTTTATCAAAGCAATACACAGTAAAATGGAATCGTTACCGATCACCTCTACCAAGCGAAAGTCAAATGTTTGGAAATACTTTAGTTTTGACGAACTTAAAATATGAAGATACTGATCGATATGTATGCACAGTTGAAACTCCAAATGGCGTTGGAAAAGACTATATAGATTTACAAGTGCTCCGTAAGTGATCTAGTATCGTACCATTATATTCGTTGTATACATTAATACATAAACTAGTATTTATCAAATAGCATTATACACGTCATAAGGCATGCTCGTTCATTCCAATTTGTGTTTAATGTTATAATTCATATAAGAATAGATGTTAAACTTTATGATTTAGTTGGGCGATTTGGACTTTGTCCACAGCCTTTACATTTTATGTAGTTAATCTTGTAAACGTTGTAATTTCACTTTAATTATTCTAAGCTTTTAATTTATTTATTTTTTTTAATATATAATTATATATCTATTTGACAGTTTATAATTATTTTTTGTCGTAATGATAACAATAATGTATTAAACATTTATTAGACAATCACATTTAATCATTTCACAGCCTAATGTATTACGTCAATAAATGCTTTTTTATCTATTACACTTTAATATTCTAATTTCATTTTTTAGCTTTTTACATACAAACATAAGTTGATATACTTACAAAAAAATTAATGATGTGTTGTAGTAATTTATTTTACTAAATATTTAAGTAACACTATCACATCTCAGTCACTATTTTAAATGCCATTGACATAAAACATTTATTATTCTAAGTTATTTTATTTTTTAATGTCTATTTTTTTTTAACTATTTAATAGTATTTTTATTTTATTATTTTCTTACTTCATGCACGGTTTTGTCACCTTCTATTGTGATTTTTGCTTTTGGTGCTGGTGATTGTCTATGTTAACAAAAACACAGGATCTTGTCTACCTGATGAGTTCCAGTGTAAGGATGGCGTTTGCATTCTTTTGTCACAATACTGCAATGGTATACAAGACTGTTCCGACAACTCGGACGAAGAAGAATCATGTTCCCAGAACAGTACTAGAATCGGTTTGTTTCCCCACACTTTTCTGTTTTTAGTACTTACTTATCATATAAACATGCATTTTGCTTTCTTGATCATCAAATTCATACAAATTAACTTTATGCACGCTCACAAATACAGCGATCACCATAAACATATTATTTATTTAAAAATATTATAATCTATCAAGAAAGCACTACATGCTTTGTTGCTTTCCTTATGGATCGCCACACTATCAGGTAAAATTTATAAAACGATTATTGAATCAAAATTCAAAGTTAAAATAATTTATTGTTAATGTCTAATGAAGTTTATTACATTTATGTACAAATATAAAGGTCGCAACTCTGGTCTTTACATCAAGCCTAGCCAATCTCCTGTACATATTGGTGACACGCTCAATCTTGAATGTGTCTCGCCAAATAGTGTTCCCCCCAGAGAATATAGTGAAATAACGTGGGCTAAAGTCAATGACGACATGGAACAGAACGTTGAAAATATGGGCTCAACAATAAGGTATATTTATTACTACAAGAAAAACTTTTGTCAAAATTCTTTTAAAAAATTATTTTTTTTGTAGAATTGTCAACGTAAAAACCGGAAATAGTGGAACATACAGATGTACTAGACGTGATCTGAATAATAACATTGAAACTGAAGACTACGAGTTGGTGGTTTCGCGTAAGTTTTTTTTTAATTTTAAACTAATGTAAATATAATTTAAATATATAATCCATGGTATAATTTTTATTAACTCTTAAATTAAAACGCTCCGATTTGGATATTTATCGCACTTCGGTTTTTGTAAGTTGTTTATTCAGAGACATTTCTGTAAAATATATATTTATTATATTAAAATAAAAATGATCTTACAGAACAATCCTCTGACGGTGGTGTGGTTAATACAATAGCTCATACCAACTACGCACCATATGGTAGATCAGTAGTTGTTGAGTGTAATACAGATCTTACATCCCCGGTAGAATATTCTTGGTCTAAATTTGGACCTCAAATGGAACCTATTTATGACAAGGTAATTCAATGTTATTACAGTAATTTCTAAAAAAAAGAAACATACATATAAATGTAGAATTGACGAAGATTAACTACTCTATTTCATAAAATATATTTTTCTTGGACAATATTTTTGTGATGAATTGTATTTCTAATTATTATAAATAAAATCAATTTATTTGATTATCTTTAAAATATATCTATTCAAGTAACAACACATATTCTTGATTTTCAGAGAAACTTGACTATGTACAACGTAACAGAAAAAAGTGCTGGGTTATATCTCTGTACAGCATCTAATGATAATGTTAGGATAGACGTACCGGTTGTACTTGTTGTAACCGGTATTGTACCTGCATTCCGTGGCAGTGACAGTTATTTGGCATTTCCAACCTTATTAAATACTTATTTAGAATTTAATCTAGAGGTACATTTTAAACCCGAGCAAGGCGATGGTTTGATTTTATATAATGGTCAAAAATCTGGCGGTGGTGGTGACTTTTTCTCATTCGGTCTGAATAATGGTGTACCCGAATTCCGATTCGATGTTGGATCTGGTGCAGCAATTATAAGAGCATCCCAATCAGTAACCATTGGTGAATGGCATACTGCTCAGCTTAGTCGATCAAAGAAACACGGTACTATGTATATTGACGGTCGTGGACCTTACCAAGGAAGCAGCCCTGGAACATTCCAGGGAATGGACTTATCACAACTTCTTTACATCGGTGGTGTACCTGACTTCTCAACTATTCACAAGGAAACTGGGTTCCATTCAGGATTCGTCGGTTAGTATAACATTTTTTATTACTACAAAGCATACCTTAACTTAAATGCGCCTTATAACATTTACTAACTTTTTTTAAGGTTGTATTAGTGCTTTTAAATCAGAAAAACGTGTTTACAATTTGATGAAAGATTCAGTAGATAAAAATAGTCTTGGCACATGCGATGTTTGCTCCAATAATCGTTGCTTAAATCAAGGTATATGTCAAGAAGCTCAAGAAACCAATCAAGCATATTCATGCATTTGTCAACCAGGATTTACTGGTGAATATTGTGAATACACTCGTGAAATCTGTACACCAGGTATGATTTTATTTGTTTTAACCTAGTTTGAGAAATAATTAATGAAAATATATTACTGTAGGCATTTGTGGACTCGGAGAGTGTTTGTCTGGTCAAGATGAAATTGAATGCAAATGTAAAATTGGCACAATTGGAAAAAGATGTGAACGCAGTGTCGAAGTTGTCGAACCATATTTTTCCGGTTCGTCATACTTAGCTTACCAAGCTCCAACATCACAAGAAAAGTAATTGTTTATTGTTACAATTGTACATTAAGTAACCAATAAATTATCAATAGTATATAATCATTTTTGTCCTATAGGTTAAATGTCACATTAAAAATTAATCCAGCAACTCTTGACGATGGTGTAATTCTATACGCTGCTCAGAATGTCCAGGGAATAGGACAATATATGGCTGTTACTCTTAAAAATCAACAAATAGAATTCCGTTATACTGTCAGTGGTAAGTCAATGTAGAAAATATTCTAGTTGATTAAAATAATTCATAATTATTATTGTTCATAGGTATAACATCAATGATACGCAGTGCCCAACTATTAGAAGTAGGACAATGGTACACAGTAACAATAACTCGTAACTCAATAACTCAGGAAAGTAAATTATTTGTCAATAATGAAACACCAATCAGATCTATTGAAAACGGAAATATGTTACCTCTTGAATTAAAAACTCATCTATTTATTGGTGGTTACGATTCACACAAAGTAAAAATTTCTCCTCAAGTAGAAGTCAATACCAACTTCAAAGGTTGTATTAAAATGGTAAGTACTGATTACATATCTCAAAAATATTACATTTTAATGATTTATAATAGCAAAAATATACTAATCGGTATGTGTTCTGGTGTAACATTCTTTTACATGGAAACAAGATTTTTTTTTTAATTTTTCATAGTTTTCGCTAACTTGTTTCGAAATAAACAAAAACTTATTAAGTAATAATAATAATTTAATCTAACTTTACTTATAGGTTGAAATTTCTCGAATGGACATAGACATAATTAATTCAGCCGTCGATTCTGCCAACATTGAGGATTGTTCTTCAATTCGAGGAGATGCTTGTTTAAACAATCGTTGTAGAAACCCAGCACTTTGCCGCTCTAAAACTAAATATTTTGATTACACTTGTCAATGTGAAGAAGGATTTAGGTAAATAAATAATTTCTACAAAAATATTTCAATAACAATAAAAAAAATTGACACATGTCATTGTTTTAATATTATTTTTAGTGGTCCAAGATGTGATGTCGACGCAAATTTATGTTCCATACTAAACCCATGTCACAACGGCGGTATGTGCACTGACATCAATGCCAACTCATACAGATGTGACTGCCTTCTTGGATACTCTGGACCTACTTGCGATGAAAGTATGAAATATAATTAAATTTAGCTTTTATTAAACGTATTTTTAAAATTCTTTTAATTTAATTAGGGATCACATTAGACTCTACTGCTAATTTTACTAGCAACAGTTATCTTCAATTAGACAAATCACTTTTGGAAAAATATAAAGGAGAACATTCTATAGCATTGTCATTTACCACAGAATCTGCCAACGGGTTACTTTACTGGCAAGGAGAAGAGCCTAACGACAGAGGAATTATTGAAAATTATATATCTATTTCAGGTAAAATAACTTTTTTGTTTAAATTAAATTTATTCTAAAGGATGCAACTATAATTTTATTAATTACATATACTTTTAGTGGTCAATGGTTACGTTGAATTTAACCGCAAAGTAAATGGTATATTAGCACCTACAACATCAATTCGATCAATAAGCCATCATGTAAATGACAACGAACCACATTTAGTAATGGTGAGAGGTAATGGCGTTGAATGGTCTATAGAATTAGACAGACAAACAACAGAAACTGAAAAGGATCATAGCGACGGACTGGAAAAACTTTTAAATTCTGCAGAATTAATATACATTGGTAAATTATCCACTTAATAAGTTATACATTTATAGCTAAATTTTAATAGAAAAATATTTAATACCTACATAAATTATTTATTTTATATGATGAACATGGTATATAATTTAATCGTATTTCTTTAATTCAAGAATGTTTATTATTAGAAAAATATGTGTAACTTTTTAACCAAAGTATTATTTACATTTATTAATACAGGTGGATTACCAGAAGCTTTATCTTCATTGAGTGTTCATCAAGTACGAGGATTTGAAGGATGTATCAGCGATGTGAGAATACAAGAGTCTGGATATGTCAATCTCGGACAGAAAGCAGTAGCGGGTAAAAATGTCGCCTCGTGTAACAGGTAAAAAAGCATTCATAATTAATATCTAATGGTATAAGGTAAATAAAACTAAACAAAATAATTTAATCGCTTAAATTTTCTTTACGGATTTTTGTAAACTTTTTCGTATAATTTTTGATATTCAAACATGCTTTGCTTTATTAATCATTTATGTGTAATTAACAATAACTATGTTTTTTAACATGCTGCTATATTTGTTGGACGTCTAATAGCTTTTCTTATAAAAAAAATGATTTGAAACGAAAGCCTTGGCTAGTATTTACTCGGACTACTACAAACAAATATGACGTGGTATATCGAATAAACCAATTTCCTACCTCACCCTCATGGGTGGAAATTAACGAGACCGAATATTCTGGACTCGACAATAACATTGATGATATTAATGATGATAATAATAATAATGAGAGTAATAATTGTTGTGTATATAACCCTAGCATAAGAATCGTGTTAACTACGTTATTTTTGTTATTATCACTAATAATGACTGATTTATAAGAAATATATTATATATTAAGTTGTTTTGTAACGCAATATGTATGTTGTTAACCATAGTAAATATGTTTTTTACCCTAACTTTTTAGGTACTGAATAATGGTTGTGATTTTTTATAATTTAATATATATTTATTTGTAAATAAAATAAATAATAATAATTAATTACTATGCAATACTGTTAAAAACTAAATAAAGTGCCTATATTAATATAACTTGTTAATTTTAAATTTGATTGAATATAATCAATCGAAATAATTTTTTTAATAAAATATTAATAACCTTTACTATAAAAGTCAACACAGCATGCTAACCAAAAGGTTATTTTTAATGGGCGTTGTGAATATGATAGGACGTTTTGATTTTCATGTTGTGGTATGTTTTCATACACTATTTATAATAACTAGCAACAAAACAACACACTACCTTGTTTCTTAAAATATTTCATAACATAAGTTAATTTTTATGTTTATTATGAAAACAATAATAAATCAATGGCTTAGGAGTATGACATCACAGGATCGGGGCCATTGTGGAATGAACTAGATGTGCTTAAGACATATAATAAAAATTGATCACTTGTGGCTAATTAATTAAGTAAAAAACCTAAAAAATATTTTTAATACTTTTTAGTTTTTTTAAATTAATAATATTTTTAATATAGTTTTAATTTTACTTGCTTAAGACATATTTAAATAAAGAATTTTAGTTAGAAAAAAATGTCTTTTATTTCCATTTATCGTAACAATCGACTTGTTTCTATAGTTTTTGAACACTAAATATTTCATACATTTTTTTAATTTTTGTAACCAATTCCAGTGTATAAGAAATTTGTTTCAAGAGAATTTATGTTTTAATAGATGCTAGTCCAGTATTTACATTCAAACTTACAAATACCAATATAGTACAATTTTATACCTTTGTCCTTAATATGGTGAAATACAACATCATCAACCAACCATTATAAGAAATTTTGACAACTACTTTGAATTAATTTTTTTTTCTTTGTGTAAATGTGTAAATTTAAGGTGTACTTACTAAATGTTTAAATTTAAATTAACAATTGCTTTAAATATATTATTTCTTATTATTGTTAAATATTTAAATATTATGATTATAAAATTCTGAAGTACTAACTGTAACATGAACCCCCTAAAATGATTACAATGCAGTAAAAAAATTGTTTGATAAATAAAAGAAGATACTCAAATATTTATGAAATAATATTCTCTGCTCTGTAAAAAATGTTTGATTAAGCCACTGAAACTGATTATTGTAATATGTAATATATGATATAACCAGGTATAATTATATTATTCGACACTGCTAATTGTTATTTTTATTAATTGTATTATTATAAGGCGGCTTCAACTATAATAACGGAATCATTAGTCATCGCTGATTAGTACAACACATTTGCATATTGAGTATCTTTTGGTTTAACTAAATAAAATCTTATTATTATTGCATGATTTCATTTTTTTAATTTTAATTAACTTGAATACACAAGTCCAAACAAGATTTCAATTAAAAAAATTATTTGCAACTTTTAATTGTATTTTGTTTTTAATTATATTTTAGAAGTGACACCAGCAATCTCATTCTCAAGAAAAAATAAGCAATACTTCAACGTCACAGCCTCCTGCAGTTACTGCTTAAAAAATACCATTTTATCATAAAATTTATACATTATTGATTTAAGAAATCAATCAGTTGTTTTATTAATTTGTTAAAAAATTGCTTTCACTTATTTTAGTATTTTAATGTCTAGCTCTAAATCATAGATGTAAGAATAAGCCTATTAATATTAATACTTATCGCTAGCTATATATTTGTCTGCTATATTATGTACTAATGTTAGTTTTTTTATTATTTTTAATTTTTCAAAGTGTATCACTGTCAAACTCGTATTAAATTTGCACCTAAAAATAATGACTTACTTTATTTAAAATAAATCTAATTTACCTCATGTTTAGAAACTTATTTATAAATAAAATTTACACGTAGTAATTTAAATTAACCAAAAATGTGTTCGTAAGACTCAGCATCAAATATATTTAAGAACTTAACTATTATGTATTTTACTTTAAGCAACTATGCGTTTAATCGGTAAGAATTGTACTTGCGTAATTTACCAATTTATATTTAAATTACAAAAAATAAAATGATAATTAAATAATTAGTTTAGTTTTTAGTAAATTTTATCCGCAACAATAATCAACTCCTTTGAAATGTTCTTCTTACGTACAGTATCTTTTAAACTCATATTAAAAAAAAAACCCTAGTTTTAAATCAACATCTTCAAACTTTTAACTATTTAAATAAAAAACAAAGACATACTTTTGATACTGAAAACGTCAGTTGCAAAGTTGATATATAACAAAGTATCTTTCTCGAGTCTTCATGCATTTAATGCACATAAACATATATATCAAAATTAAATAATTGCCTATACAACCAACTTAAATATCGATATGACGCAATTGCAAGTGAAGGTTTAGACTCGCGCACATTTTTAATTAAATGTCTAAAATATGATTTTCCATTCGGAAAGGACTATCAAAAATTGTTTATCTCATTAGCAAATCTAAAAAAATGTCTTGATGTAAAAAATACTGAGAATTATACATTATTATAATTAAACTAACTATATTATCCTCTAAAAAATAAACATATGCACTTATCAGAAGTGAAAGGGATAACAAATTAAGGCAGAAAACTTGAAACACACATTTACCCAGTGTGTTAAAATCAAAAAACGAGCTTTACTCATTTTCCAGCATTTGTTTATTATTATCACTCAAAGAATTTATACGATTAAAATACTTTTATATAGAACCTATTCACTTTCTCATGCAATTGCATAATAATAGAATTAAAGATAGAAAGGTTTAATGTCACTCAATACCCATTTAATCGTTTCCCTCCTTATATTTAATTTAAAAAATACTACAGATAATTAAGTGAAAAAATTAATAAATTTGTACAAAGATTATACTTAATTATAGATCTTATTTCATAAACTAGAGCCAAAACGCTATTAGTAACTAGAACCAATAAAAACTAATTTTTATTTTACTTTAACATAATAAAAAGGAAAACTTTGTATCGTATCATACGCAGTCAATAATTTCATACAAAAAATTACAAAAGTACCATTAATCAAATATTTGAAGTTAGTAGGAAATCTTCCCTTAAATCTCACATAAAATTTGTTTCTGTTTTATGCAAAATATACTAATATTTAGTAAGTTAAAACAAAAATCAAGACTAAGACAACATGAAACTATCAATTCTTCTGAATTCATTGCTCTTTAAAAAAAACCATTAATTTTGATTCTGTTAGACTATTGTGATAATTGAATATATTATATAATATAAAAGGCATAATAGAAAAAAATACACTTTTAATAATTATTCCTAAAATTTACATTCAATAAATTTAGTTCATTAATTAATTATTAAGATTATTACTATTATTCAAATATAAAAGACAAGTAAATAAGTTTAACAGTGTAATTTAATAAGTCTAAAACAGATATTAAGAGATAGTCAGTAATATTGTCATTTTAGACAATACAAAATGGTAACATAACATTTATGGAATTAAGTTATCAAACAACATTGAATCTTGTACCAAAAACGAGCAATGTTAAGAAAATAAAATTTGTCCAGAAATTAAGTTATTACCTGGATACCAGGAAGAGGAACCAGTGATATTAAAAAAAAAAATTGTGAAGTCACTAAATTAATATGTAAAAAAAACTTGTACCAAAATCATTAAAACTACCAGAATAAAGTTAAGTATTATATTTTTTTGCTTAGTACTAGACTTAGAATTTAATACTAAAATATCAGCATTTGATTATTTAACATCTTATGATTCAGAGGTATCTTTATTTTCTTCAATTTTTTCTGAAGTCTTTTCAGTTTCAGCAATTGATTCTTTGCTCTAAAGAAAACAAATGTTAAATTTTTTAAATAAAATTTTTTTTTTTTGCTAATTCTAGAAAATTACCTCTTCAACTTTTTTTTCTTCCTCAATAGATGCATTACCATTTTCTACTATTTTTTCTTCTGTTTTTAAGTCAACTTCTTCCTCAGTTGAGCTACCTTCTTTGTCACCTTTTAGCTCGTCATTTTCAGCAATACCATTTTCTTCAGCAGACACAACTTCTTCTTCTTCACTTTCCTTAGCAACTACTTTGGGTTTTCTCCCTCGTTTACCTGAACAAATTTAATAAATAAAAAACAGTAATTTGTATTTCACATCTAGTTAAGATTATGCATCTTACCTTTTTCAGTTGGGGCTTTCTTTTCTTTTTTTGCTGGTGGTGCATCACTTTTAGCTTTTGATGCAGCAGTGGAACCTCTTGTAGATGACCTAGTTGTTCTTCTTCCATCAACATCTTCAGTACTTTTAAGACCCTACATAATAATAATATTCAATTGATATTATAATAATAAACAGATATAGAGTTGTAGAAACAAAAAAATTATTTAACACTCAGATTTATTCTAAAATCATCAATGAAGTGCTGATCAAGTGAAAGATAATATAAGCGCAATAATATTGTGCCCTGTAGGATATTTTCTCAATTTTTTTTTAAAATTTTTTTATATACAAAATTAAATTTTAATTAACAATAATTTATATACTTTTGTAATTAATTCAGCTTCAGCATTAATAATATCTAAAGCATTAGATCGTTTTCCACCAGCATTTCTCTTACGTCCACGTTTTTCGCCCTCCTGAAAAATAAAGTACATGATAAAAAGAAATTACAACTCCAGAGAGTGATGTACAATGAGTAATTTTAATGTATATCTAACATAATTGATCCGTTTACTTATTAACTTGAGTTTTTTAACATTATAAAACTATTTGATATGCCACACAATTTTTACATCTATAATTATATTCTATTACCTACTCCATTGAAAATATCTTAAACCTCGTATTATTATACTACATCAATATTATTATTATTTTTTTTTAATTTCATATATAAATGCAAAATTTAATTTTTAGAAATGTAAAAAAAAAAGTATATTAATAATCTTTTTTTTTTATCATTACTTCATGTTCAAAATAAATTCAAGAAAATGTATGTATCTAGTTTTCCTTGTTTATAAATAATATTTTCTCTGAATTAAACAACTAACCTTTTTTTAGATTCTGTAATGAAATTTATTTTAAAGAGAAAATTGGCGGGAAATGTATCAATTAGCAAGATGCTCACAGGATTCAGTGATACACGGTGTACAATAATTTTCAATGCGACACAATATTTATCCTATAATGTACATATGTTATTCGGAAACAACGCTACTCAATTAAACAGTAAGGTATAGACTAATTTAACTAAAAAAAAAAAAGAACTACTTTTAGAAAAATCTTGAAGTGATGTAAGAAGGTTAAATAATTAAATTTATCATAATAACAATAGTATCGAACAAATAAAACAAAATACACAAAACGTACAATAATGGCGGCGACCTATAGCATGAATCGTGCGATATGGTACGAGGAGTGGAGGGGTAGAAACCCACCGTTTTACAGGAGCGATCCCGGTGTAATGGTAACGTCGGAGGTAAAGGCCGTTAATATGTTGTGCGAGACGACATTAGGCAATTAGAATATCACTCACGAAAACCACAATGATGCCCATAATAATCCACGAGTACTTTGGCGGCAAAACCATGTAGAAACACTCAAACTCAAAGTATCGCGCCAAATATTTTTTGAAATAATACTCAACAATAATATGTACATTAAAAGCACTCACTTGATTGATTTCAGCGGTGCCGTTGTTAACGACAGGTTCCACTGCAACGACTGGTACGTTATTTTCTGCGGCCACTTCGGACATATTTTTAACGTGTAATGCGGCAATATTATGTGGATTTCACAAACTTACGTAGGCGATTATCCTCAACACAAGTCGATTAAGTAAACAAAAAATACACAAAATAGAGCCGCTGTATAATTTACTATGCAATAAATGTTTAGCACGTTAAGAGTACAAATGAAACGGTATGCCGATTGATGAAAAAGTCAAGACCGGCCGTAGACGACGTTGTTTGTTTACGGGACACGAGTGTGAATAGGTCTTGTAACGAATAATAAAACGATGCGGAGGTCGTAGTAGTTAACACGAGATAGCGTTCTAGAAGCCGGCCCCCACCATATCGTGTACCATAGGCGTTTGCTCATATCGTCACTTGATATCCAAACAAACGTACCATATGACAAACCGTTAAATATTAGCAATTACAAATCACTGGCATGATACATTTGAAACAACCTTTAAAATTCAGAAGTAGGGCTCGAATGTTCAATAATATGCATGTTTTTTTTTGTTACATAGGGGATACATGCTAAGTAAAATACAAATCCGTTTTGTAACAGTAATAAAACTGTTAAGATTAATATTGAATATATAAAGTTTTATTATACAAGTATTTTCATATTTTGGATACAAAATCATATTTCTTATTTCAAAAAAAAAAAAAACCTACAATTTTTATGATAATTGTATATAATATACAATTTAAGTGTATAATTTTAGTTTTTTAATATATATTCCAGTACTTTTTCAATAACTAATTTTAATTCATGTAATGCATATTTTTGACATTTTTTAATACTTACTTTTAATACATAAAAATGCACATTTCTAATCATTTTTATGCAAGTCCTGTTTAATATTTAATAAATAAATAATATTTAAGGCTGATATATCCTTTGGGTTTCTGAACTTTTTATCTTTAAAATAATATTCAGAATATTCAAAAAGTCAGGAAAAGGGTTTCTATTGTTATTGTAACAATTGGCCTGTTTCCATTTTAAATACTTATAGAATGAAAATGAATCTCAAATTATCTCAGTAACTAACTTTACTCAATCTAATAATATACCACTAATTGGTGTATTTGGATAGGGGCAGATCCAATATTTGAACTTTTTTTGGGGGTGGGGCATTTCGCTATTTTATTTTAAATAAAGACTAATTTTATAAGGTAAATATTTTGTTTAAAAAATAATTCTTATTTTGAGGATTTTTGTTCCTATATAGGACCTTATTGCATCCACACCTGAATTTAGAATAAATGGGACATAGAGACATGCTCTTCCATCAACAAAGATATATTGTTATAAAAATTTTAGATAACTTTTTTTACTCAAACTGTGAGTAAAATATTTACAAAAAATCATTAAACATTATAACACATGTTTGTTGGAAAATATTATTACGCCCTCCATATTTGTAGATTAGCCCATTAAAGGGCTTAGGTCATTAACTCAATATTAATTTTTTTAACACGAGTTCTATTTTTATGACCAATATATACATCTAAACTAATTTATCTTTCATTAAGAGTATTATGCATAAAAATATCATTTTAAACAATAAGCTACTAATTATAACGGGACTCAAAAATGATGTTCATAGTCATATACACATTTTTTTAGAAAAAAAGAAAATGCTATAAGATTCCTAAAAATGTTTTTCTTGTTGCGCTCATGTTTCTCTAGTTTTAAATTTAAATCATGACATTTTATAACTTAACTATTGTGACAACATATCACCAATAGTACTATACTTTCTTTATAGTCCTGAATGATTTTTTACCAATAACATTTTTTTTATTCTTATCTTAGATTTTTTCCTGGATGGGATTTTACATAAGAAATTTTTTTTATCCTCTTCTAGTAATATTGAAATCATATTTTTTTAATTCTGAGTAGTGGTTTTAACCCGGTAACCTTCGTAATTACGCCTTTTTGTTCGTTTATTATAAATAATAAGTAAAATTATTTTTTTAATCTTACAGAATATAATGCATTTTTAATACTTAATTTATAGTATTACATTAATAATATAATCATTATTAAGTAGTTAAGAAACAATAACTTTATAATAGCTTAAATGTGACAAATTTGAAAGTGATAAAAAAATACTATTAAACATTTCATAATAAAGCTAAAAAATCAAATAAGAAAGAGTAGAATAAAGCCAATTTTAATTGCTAATACCTATTTCCTTCTATTAATTTTTTTATAATTAAAACTAAGAAATTTTTTCATGATAATCCTGAAAAAAAAAATAGTTTTTATTTCGTAGGTATAATAACTTAAAAAAATAAATCATATTATTGTACTATAGTAAAAATTTCACTTTCTACTTATTTCAATAAAAAGTAATTTATACACTACTTGTGAACATAATATATCATCATTAGAATTTGATTTTTCGATGAGTTCATTTGAAGTAACGTTTTTTTGGTCTAAAAATATAATAAGACGAAGTTATTATATGAATTTTACAAATAGCATACGATTGAACTTTTACATATTATGGGCATTTAAAAAATTGACACTCCATAGAAATGTTTAAGGAAAATATTATATGCTTTGTTTTTTTTATCTATAATTTTTTCTATTTTTGACATATCAAAAATAGAAAACGCTATAGTATTTGCTATACAGAGTATTCAATAAATAAAGACAGGTCAGTTATTACAAACATTGAGAACAATAAAAACCAGTTTTTTTACTTACTGAACACTATTTATTTGCATTTATAAATCATAAGTTTTGTACAATCTGGATCAACTAATATACCTTTGATGTTAAATACAATGATAGTAGTAAGATGGATTTTTTACTATAATTTCCAGGGTGTCTGAAGTTTTTTTAAGAATTTTTTTTTTGGAGTGATCAGGGTTGTCACAATTTTTGTGTTTATAAGACGTTGGTCTCCCAATTATTAAAAATATATATATATTAAATTAAAATAAAGTCGTTTATCAAATACATAGGCGAATATTTCTACAAAATTAGGAAAGATAAAAAAGTTCTCGCACCGTATAGATTAATTAGGTTTTGGTAAGGAAATTTGGAGGGTTATTTTAAATGAATAATTTTTATTTCTCTATACATTCATTTAAGTGGAGCTTAGGGAACTAAGCCTCCCACTTCCATCAATACTTAAATAGTGAAGCATAATATCTGAGACTTAAATAAGTTAGTGAAATATAATATACAAGATTAAACAAGTAAAATAATAATGTCGATAGGTGGCTATTAGATTTTATTAGTAATAAATTCGTATTTTATTTATGACTATAAATATAGAAATTTTGAAATATTTATAAATATAATAATATTATTGTAATTATAGTTATAAGTATAGAAATATACTTTTTCTTTAATCGGATGTAAAAAGACACTAGCATTACTAAAACTTGGTCTAACGCACTGCCGTTAGCTCAGATATATTGCCATAAAAATGGATATAGTTTTATCACATATTGATAAATAATTATTGTAAAATAAGCAATAAAAATGAAAATTTCTTTCAGAAACTTTTTTTTAAAAGAGCCTTTGAATCCGATCTACAATTAGTTCTATTAAGAAATCAAATTTTAATTAAGAACTTTCAATAATAAATAGTATTCACAATGCATGATATTTATTTATTGTATTTTATATAAAAAGTCCGCGCTCCTGCTAATGGTAGTGAAAATTTTCAAAAATTTACTTTACCAAAATTATTACTCACTCAATATCAGAAAATACTTACAATTATTTATAACCTTTTCATTTTCTTTTAACGTTTCTTGAGTAGCGCTTAATGCAGATGGTAACCTAAAGCATGCAATAGTCAACCGTATAAGCAACCACACAGAAAATACTAAAACTATATACAGTATCCCTGTGTATGCCATGACTCTGAAGTTAACAACGACTACTTGATTTTTCATTTCCTATCTTATGACTCGAAGAAAAATTATTTAAGCTCGCTACATAATATACTATGAATTATATCATTATACTTTGACATTGTTGAGGATTTGAAGAACAATGAAAAACATATCTAATGCATTTTAAAACTGACACGCAAATAAAATCGATAAAATAGCACTAAATTATTCATAAAAATTGTTAATAGAAATCGAAAACCTGTCAAATATGAACTAAAAACAAGTATTCAGCTTAATAGGCTTTTACTAAATTTATAAAAATAATGTTTAGCCAAAATACTCCCTTTAAATACATCATAAAGTTTTAATTTATAATATTATAATAAGTAATAATAATATATTGTTTATATAATTCTAATATATATATATATATATTAATCAATGATATTAATAACAGACAAATAATACATTTTTCTATTGTCTGAAACAAATTTGAAATCATGCACTTTATTTAAAAAAAAATTTTTTTGATAATTTGTTAAGAAAAATATTTTAATTCCGTTTGTTATACTATTAGCGACTACTTAATTCTACCTATACATCGCCTGAAGTAAATAAAATAAATACAACAATTGTATTTATATATTACTATATTTAAATTATTTAATTATAGTGATGGTGGCTTAGTCCCTAAAATTTGAAAAATAATTTTTAGAGAGCGAAAAAATTACATTTACTTTCCCTAGAAAAATAAACTCTTATAGTGACCATATCAAATTATTGTTGTATTTTATTTTAACTATTTATTAAACACATGTATACGTAAAGGGTATCACGAACAAATTACTCCCCAAAATTATAGAAAAAATATTTACAACACAAATTAATCTGTATAAAAATGTTTCTATTTTCTATATTAGTCATAGTAATCTGACTGTTGATTTTAATATCCCGTAAAAATGAGATAAAAAGAAGTTAAAAGTTTTTTTTTTAAAATAAAATTTATATTTTAGTAGTAAATTTATTAGTTTTTTGGTGAAGGTTACAAAAGTAATAAAAGTACTGTCACAAAAAATTTTCCAATTTTATTTGTAGCTAATGGCTATACTGTCAATATTACACTTCTCATTGATAAGTTTACTGAGTGACAAACTCAATTTAATACTTCAAATCCAAGAGCACCACGTACAACATTTTATTTGTGACATTACGTAATATAACAAAACTTCTTAATTTCTTTTATTCTAATTAATTAATTAATAATGTATCTTTTCCATTTTTAAACATAACATATTAATCAAATCTAAATAAATTATAGTAATCAAACGATCTCTATCTAGTAGTTCCGCCAAGAACTAGTCGATGACCGAAGATCTATAAATTGATGATGTTTATCATTATCATTAAACTCAATATTTGATAATAAGAAAAATTACATTTAAAATGATGATGTAGTTAATAATGGTTTTTATTATTCCATAACAGACCTATTTTAGGTGAAATATTTTTATTTTAAACTAAAATTGTACATAACATTACTTATCTATGATCTACTATAGATATTAAATTTTACCAGGAAATTAAAATTGTAAGTCACTTTGTTTTATTTACAACTCTAAGATAATAAAAAAAAATTTTTTAAGGGTTATCAATGAAGTACCAATTGTTTACCCAGTGGTTTGTATTTTTACTTTTGGCTCTAAAAGCCCACGCTGAAAAAGATAATTCTAAAGAAGATGATGATGATAGTTATGACCTAAGAACAGAAGAAGTAGATGATCATGAACAAACAGCTAGTCGAATGTTTCAGTTAATTAATGAAGCAGCCATTGAATTAGTTGCAGCTCCTGATTTATCAAAAGTAATATTTATTAATAATTAATGAAAAAATGTAATTAATTATTTTATTTTGGTATATAATCTATAGGAAAAGCCTATTAATAAAGATGATGACTATAAATCAGACCAAACAAAGAACTTTGAGACAGATAGTAATGAAAATTTACAATTAGTAAAATTTCCAGCAGTTGGTTTATTTAACTATTGGGCTGACATGTCTAATGATGATATAAGTTTACAAAGTTTAAATGATAATTCTGATGATGATGATGATGGTGAAGTGGAGTGGAAAGAACCTAAGGATGACAAAAATAAGTATACTGAAGAAGGTAAATTAAACTGCATTTAATATGGTGTACAAATTTCTAAATTATTTTATTTGTTTAGCGGAACAACTATATCAAACTGGTTTAAAAAAAATGAAATCTATCCGTGGTGATAATTTAGAAGCATATGAACATTTTTATAAAGCTAGTTTGTTAGGACATGAAGAAGCTAAAGCTAAGTATGCTTTTGCATTGTTGTTTGGCCTTAAATATAATCAGGACATTGTAAAAGCTTATAAAATATTTGATGAACTTTCCAAAAAAGGAAATCCAGATGGTCATTTAGTAAATTTTTTTTAAATTTTAAACTCTTAATATTTTGAATCTTAAATTAATATCATTTGTATTAGGGTATGGGTTTTTTGTATGCTGTTGGTTTACATGTACAAGTTAGCCAACCAAAAGCAATTGTTCATTATATGATGGCTGCAGTTGGTGGAAATGTCCTTGCTCAGTTAGCATTAGGTTACCGTTATTTTGCTGGAGCCACAGTAGCATTTAGTTGTGAAAAATCATTAGAATTTTATCAAGCAGTAGCAAATAATGGTAACTGCTAAATACTTATCTAATTAAGTAATATTATATTATATATATATATATTTTTAAGTTGCCAACGAGATATCATTATCTGGTGGTCCTCTTGTTCAGCGCATTAAATTAATGGAAGAGCAAGATAATCCTAATTATAATAGTGGTATTGTTGATTCAGACTTGTTAGACTACTATAAAATGTTGGCTAATAAAGGAGACGCACAAGCACAAGTATAATAATTATATATACATAAATAAATATTAAATTTATTATATATATGTATTATTCATAGGTTGGATTAGGTCAATTATACATGCAAGGTGGTAGAGGGGTGCCAATTGATTTACAAACTGCTCATTATTATTTTCAAAAAGCTGCTGAAAGTGGTAATGCAGATGCTTACGGATTTTTAGGAAAGGTACCTAACAAGAAAAATAATTTTGTTAATTTTGTAAATTAACTATGCATTAACATATATAATGCATTTGAAAAATTATATGAAATAGTTGTTAACCAATTTGATAAATTTATTTCTAAGATAAATAAATTCAAGTAAATCTTGATTCCCACAGTGGTTTTCTAGTAAGATTCATTCTGCATTTTGTGTGATTTGCACAAAAATTTTAAATTTTCAAATGATTATTCGCTTTATAGTGAGTTTTCAAGTCTAAGATTGAGGTGTAAAATCTATCCAGAAAACTTTACTGTTATTAAAAAAAAAAAATGAATATCCTGTCTAGTTCTCTATGGTATATAATAATCCATCAAAAAACTGGAATTTTTAACTTGTTTAGGGATTATTTTGCATTTAATTACTCACAGTCTAAATTAATCACTATCTGGTAAATTAGTCACCCATTTGGAGGAAATGGGTGTGAATTGTAACATTTGCAACATTGAATGTCATGTTACTTTGGTTTTACAATGTATTAATTTTGAAGTCTTTTATGCGCTATTGAAATTTGGAATTAATACTAAGTATGGGCTAGATGGTATTTTGGTATTGTGTATTCTTCTTATCATTTTACTTTAAAAGGTCCCATTTTTTTTTTTATTTTCAATGGAAATTTTCCAATGTAATGGAAAATAAGCTACATCTACCCAATTTTCCAGCTCAGTCAGATGGAAGTAACTATCACCCAATTTATCAACTGAGTGTTCTAACAATACTATTTTAAATAATGATTCAACCAAAATTATCTATTATTTTCAAAAAGGTAATGATTTTTTGCTGATATTATAGAAATAGTATCTTTTAGTGGCCACATCGACTCAATTTATGTGAATAATCACTTTATTTTAATTAAAAAATTGATATATTTGGTGTAGGTGATTTTATGTTATCATAGCTTCATTCTTATTTACCTACAGGATACAACAAATAAAAATAGGAGAGTCCCTTTCATCATTGATAAATATATCATCTAGTATTCCATATGGAGGGCATTTATCTTCTCTTTGTTATTTTTATGAATGATCATAGTGATGTATTATAATTTTTTCTAATTTCTGATGATGTAATACTATATCATAGTATTAAGACCCTTAGTAACTATTTAAAGTTATAGAACAACTTAGATAAGTTATGTCATTGTTGCAATCAAAACGGTTTGTGTGTTAATCCAATAAAATGTATTTAGATCACTTTACTCATAAGTTTACTATTAGTAATTTTAATTACAATATTTTTGGTGTTAGTTTAACAACATCTAATGTTAAAGATTGGTATTATTTTGTCCAATTAATCTAATAACATTTACTACTAATTAACATTATAATGTACTAATTTAAATAATTATTATTTTATATAAATTGTCCATAAAAAATATAAGGCCATTCATTAATTATGCCTTACACACTATCTTTCAAAATATAAAGCATAATTTTTTTTTTTTTTCAGAAGTTATTAATATATTAGTTCTGTAATTTTCAAAAAAATAATTGTGTCCTATCCCCTTTTCACACTTTAAAATAGTATCAACTTAAGTTTTTTGAATGGAAAAATTTATGTTTAAACATTTTGAAAATAATATTATTATTTAACTAAAAAAAATGAATAGTCGATAACGACTTTTAAACCAGTATTTAAAAATATATTAGCATTATACTAGTTAAACAAAGACAAGAGGAGTAGTGCTGTTTGTCAATATCTAGAAATAAAAATAAACAGACCTCCAATCATTATAGTTAAGTGTTAATAACTTACAAAATACAAAATCAAAAGTTGTAATTTTCTTACTTAAGTCAATTCCCTATTTTTAATCTTGTTAGACATATATGTATCCATTATAAAAACTTAAGTTAATACAATTTTAAAAGAAAGAAAGAGGAAATAGACCATTTTTTTTTTAATTATAGAACAATGTAGCACACTATTAAGTTCTGAAAAGAAAAATTACAATAAGTTTTAGACTTTTAAAGATATTATGTGAAATACAGTTAATCAGTCACTGTTACAAATTAATACCTATAAAAAATTTAATATTTCAAAACTTATTGATGCGTGATAATGGTTAAACAAAGAAATAAAGATTTTATATTATAAGATTTTTATCCTTATATAAAAATAAATGTTCAGTTTAGTTAGAAAAATTTAAATGTTACACTTTTACAGATTTACTTAGAAGAGCGTGATGATGCAAAACCTGATTATGAAAAAGCATTAGAATATTTTTACAAAGCTGCTAAATTAAAAAATCCAGTTGGTCAAAGTGGTTTAGGTTATATGTATTTACATGGACTTAAAGTAGCTCAGGATTATTCAGAAGCTTTAAACTGGTTTACATTAGCAGCTGAAAAAGGATGGGTTGAAGGACATTTATATATTGGAATTATTTATTACAGTATGATTTTTTATTTAATTTGTCAATTTTATGTGTTTCTGTTTTCTCAATTAACAAAAAATGTAATTTATTTTTGTATTAAGAATACAAAACTCAAAACAATATACAGCATTATTTAATTAAAATTTAATATATTTGCAAAATAAAAAAAACAATATTAACTTTTTGATTTAAAATGAATTTTTGGTGATCTTATAGAATACCCACAATTGTTTATAAAGAATATTTAAATATTAAATCTAATTTTTTCAATGTTAATATTAGTTTAAAACAACATATTTTGTGTAAATTTTATATTTTATGAAATATTTCAGAGGGTTTGGGTGTAAAACGTGATTATAAATTGGCAATTAAAAACTTTGGATTAGCATCAAAATCTGGAAATTTATTAGCATACTTTAATATGGCACAGATGCATGCAACTGGTATTGGTGTATTGCGTTCTTGCACCACTGCTCTTGAGGTAACCTTACATAATATAAGTCTCCTTGTTAAAAACATAAAATTTTATCCAAAAAAAAAAATATTTTTATTCTATTATTTTTATAAGTTATTTTGTTTGTTTTTTTATAGTTATTCAAAAATGTAGCTGAACGTGGTAAATGGGGTGGATATCTTATGCATGCTTATAATGCATACAAAGAAAACAATTTCAAAGAATCTTTTGTGCTGTACTCTTTCTTGGCAGAAATAGGATATGAAGTAGCACAAAGTAACACTGCATTTATATTGGATAAAGGTATTTAATTCTTCTAATAATTAAAACGTCATAGTTATCAGCATAACAGAAACACACTCTTTGGAGGCTATTCTCTTCCCTAAAAATTGTATATATATATGTATAAGTTTTTAATTTTAAATGTTCTCATTTTTACCGTAGAGTGGCTAACTTTCAGTCTTTTGCTATTTGAGTTAATATATTTGGTGTATCATGGATATAATTTTTTTGCCATACTTTTTATATTTATTATACGTCAATCAAATAATAATTTTATGATTCTCAACAAAAATATTAAAGAACCAAGGTTTTAATATTTTCAAATGTTTCCTAAAGTTTTTAAAATTTCATTTCATTTTATTTAAAATTAAAGACTTTGAATCATGTCTATTTTAATAAAAGTAGTGTCAAAAATATATTTTAAAAACCATTAAAATAAAATGATTACACCAATTTTAAACATAGTTATATAGTCAATTTTAAAATAAATGTTAGCCTACTTTCCTAAAATAATTAATAGTCAGTATTTCAAAAGTAAAACAATGATTTATTTTTTAGTATTTAATTATAGTTTGTACTTTTTTTAATACAAAATTGAAAAGTTATTAATTTACTCTGATGTTATTTTTTTATGATAAAAATTAACTTTGAACATTCATAATTGGTATGGGTTCATTTAAAAATGTATACTTAAAATGTTTTAAATCTCAAATGAATTAGTACAACTATTTGACAAAGAAGGACACTAAGAAAATTTCTATTTTCATATTCAGATTGTTCAATAAGTATGGAAACAGGTCAATTATTAAGAACAAAGGAAACTTTTTTCTTTACTTATTGAATTTTTTAGTAATTATGAGTAGTTATTATTTTTGTAGTTAAAAATTAAAAAATACCCCGTTTTATTTTATTTAGGAGATGTTGACATGTGGGAATCTGAGAAAGAACGCTATGTGCGTGCAATGATGTACTGGAGTAGATCAGCAGCTCAAGGATATGCAGCAGCACAGTTGAAATTAGGTGATTACCATTATTATGGTTTAGGTACAAAAGTTGACTATGAAATGGCTGCAAATTACTATAGACAGGCATCAGAACAACATCAAAATGCTCAAGCAATGTTTAATTTAGGATATATGCATGAAACAGGATTAGGAATGGAACAAGTATTTATTTTAATTTTTTAATTATATTTTTTTATTGATGTAATTATAATTTACTAATTTTTACAGGACATTCATTTAGCTAAAAGATGTTATGATATGGCAGCTGAAACAAGCTTAGATGCAAAAGTTCCTGTATTCTTAGCATTGACTAAATTGAATATATTGCATACTTTTAATAGTTATTACAAAGTAAGGAATAATTGTGTACTGTGTAATAAATGTATCATTAAATATATAAAATATAATTATAACATAAATATATAATTTTAGGATATTTTAAGTGTTATGGCAATTTTATCAGATGATGTTACTGTACCAATGAGTTTTAATTGGGATTTGTACTTAATTGCTATACTATTTGCCTTACTATCTTACATAATATATTTGCGAAGACCTAATAGACAAGTACCAAATACGTGATAAGGAAGTTTAGATAAATACTATGATCACATATTTATATTTATTAATAAAATTATTTTTTTATGCTAGTTAAGAAATTTCTTGTAAGACTGTACTAGTTAAAAAATTATTTGTGGAAAATCTTTATAGTTTGTAGGTTTTCTATTAAATTTTTCAATTGCTAATCATACTAGTTTAAATTACATTTAAATAGTATAATTATAATAGCATTGAATTAATTTACGTGTTTTAAAATTTTTACATCCAGTATAAAACACAAATTCAGATATTAATAATTTTACTTTAGTTATCAATTAATGAGTGCAAGTTAATAAAAATTTAAATTTTTATCCTTATCAATGTGTATGTTATTAAATTTATAAAAAAAATTACTTTTAAATAAATGCTTGAAATCTCTCCTCCAAATCATTATTGCTTATCATTTGTATGTGATTGAGTATAATTAGTGTATTTGTTTTTCTTATTATGAATTTACTTTTAACATTTGTTAATAACTTTCATAATTAATTTACTTGTACATTATTGATTATTGATTATTTATATTTTATTAAAATATGTATATAATTATAAATATTATGATAACATGCATGCGATTTTACATTATTTATTCTAAATATCTCTTTTTGAAAACATTTTATCTGCAGGAGCGTTTTCAGGATCTTGTAATGTTACTTCCTCCTTTATTGTATGTTTATTAAGTTTACTTTGTACCAAAAGGCCATTAATTAATGTGTTAAAAGGAGATTATTTGTTATAAATAAAATTCCATGTTAATTATTTTTCGTGATAAAATATGACATAGAAATTATAAGTATTTAAAATTATTCAGTGAGTGTTTCTTTTAAAAGTTATATTGCTACATGTATAACAATATTTGCTTATACCATTGTTTTATATACAGACTCAAAACATCGATCTAACTATCAGTTATCAAAAAAATATATAAAGCAAAAGAAGCAATTTGAATTTATTTTCTATCTGAAAAAAACTAGTAATTTAAAATATTGATAGGTTGGATATGTGGATAAACCCAATATGAATTGACTCGTGAGTCGTATACTGTAATAATATTACAGTATATATTTTATTCATGTATTATATGAATTATAATATTTATGTTCAATAAATAAAAAAAATTTTTTTTTTGGTGACACTGTTTAAATCAGAAAATTATAAGTAGCGATAATTGTTATCATCATGATAAGAAGACCTTGAAATAATTCTTTCTACTTAAATTTAAAATTTAGTGTTTAACTCTAAAGAAAAGTTTTCATTATTTAACTTTTTTATTTTATATTCACATAAACTGTACTTATTTTTGTTTATTAATGTATACTGGTAGTATATAATTCGTTGTTTATATAAGATGTCCGATTGGGAAAATTGGTTTGAAATTGCAAAACAGTGCAAATATTTGCCAGAAAATGATCTTAAGGTATTTTCTATCAATAATTTTCGTTGAAAAAATTGATGTTTTTAATTATAGTTTTTTTGTATTTTCAGAAGTTATGTCAAATTGTCTGTGATTTATTGATTGAAGAAGCTAATATTCAGCCAGTCAGTACTCCAGTTACTGTTTGCGGGGATATTCATGGACAAGTAGAATATTATTTAGATTTAAAAGTTTTTATTTAATTGATTTTAAATAGAATTTCTGAAAAAATATAGTATTTTCTTTTAATTCCTCGCAAGCCTAAATTTAGCTTATACTTAAGTATTTTTTTTTTTTAATATGCATAATTCAAAACATAATTTGTTATTTCATAGATTATTCATTAAAAAAATTGTTCAATGTATTTTACTATAATTATAATATGACATAAGTTTTAAACTTTTATTTTAAAGTTTTATGATTTGGAAGAGCTTTTTCGTAGCGGTGGACAAGTTCCTGATACAAACTATGTTTTTATGGGAGATTTTGTAGATCGTGGTTATTATAGTCTGGAATCACTTACAAGATTATTAACACTTAAAGCTAAATGGCCACATCGAATTACTTTACTTAGAGGAAATCATGAATCAAGACAGATTACACAAGTTTATGGATTCTATGGTATATTACATTTAATTATTAAATTTAATTCATTGTTGTAGAAATATAAATTTGTCTCCCAAACTAACATTTAATTTGTTTGAACTAAAAGATATAACAATTCTTAATGTATCCTTGTAAACAGTAAAAAATTTACTGTTGGAATATTTTAGTAGTACATTATACTAAACCAACTGTTTTATTTCTAATTACATTAGTTTAAGTAACTCTTTTAATAGTTTTTTTATTAGGCTAAATATTATTTCATTTAATGATTAAAGTTCAATTTAACCCAACATTTTTTTTCTTCTGATTTTTAAGAAATAAATAACTTTAAAATAATTCAAAATAAATTGATTTAAATTTATTCAATATTATATATAAAAAAAAATAGTTGATTATGTTAATACAATAATATTAAATACTTCTAGATTCTTTAAATTATTAAAAAATGAGTAAATCATTAACCATTAAATTAATTATATTATAATTTTATAGAATGAACATATATATATTTATTTATAACTATCTTTAGATGAATGTATGAACAAATATGGAAATGCAAATGTGTGGAAGGAGTGCTGTAAAGTTTTTGATTTGCTATCTATAGCTGCGGTAGGTTTTTTTATTTTATGACTTAGGTATAATTATCAATTGAAAATGTTGAAAAAAAAGTTTATAATTTAATTAACCAACTTTGAAAAAATGAAAGGCATCGGAACATATCTCCCACATCATCTATACACATACCAGCAATCTTCATATTATCATTAATTACATTGAACTTCCTCTTTTTTTATATTTTTCACTGTTATTTTCTGTAGCATTTAAATGAACAATACAAATCAATATTATTTTATATTAACCTTAATCGTACCCTGAAATCCTTTGTTTCTCCATACATACTTTTTACTTTCTAGTACAAGTACTTCTAATACAATATTATACGTTTTTGGAATCCTTTTCTCATTAACATTAATGTTATAATCTCTTAGACATCTATAATAATAATATTTATTTATTGAATAATTCAAAATTTTGCATTATTATTTTATTAATGTATAGAATATGTTAATACAAATTCCTTTCTTAATATCCATGATTCTTTTAAAGAAAACAAATATATCTTAAGCACATCTTAAATTTATTAATAAATTGTTATATTTGTATAAATAAACTTATTGATGAAAATATAAAAATCAAAAATCTTCCACTTTAATGAAAAGTTAAATTAATTTTTTTACTTAATCTTAGTTACTTGAAAGAACTATTTTTTTAGTTGATAGATGAAGAAGTGTTTTGTGTTCATGGTGGCTTATCTCCTGATATCTCTACATTGGATCAAATTCGAGTAATTGAACGAAATCAAGAAATTCCTTATAAAGGTATTTTCTTGTAAAAAATATTTATAATTTAGTCATAAATTTTATTGAAAATAATTTAAAAATATTTTTACTTAAGTCGTTTTAAAATCATTGTATTTAGTTAACATTGTAAAAAAAAATTTTTTTTTTTAATTAAATGGAAATAACTAACCAAAAATTGAACTTCTTTTTATTAAAAAAAAAAATAATAAAACATTTGGCAGTAAATTCTTTTTTTAGACTTTCCATTATTGACTTATTGGCGATATTAAATAGGCATATGATATTCAGTATTGTATCTCCACAAAGGTACAGTAGCCATAAATTTCTTAAAGAGTACTATCTTTAATTTTTTATAACTCTTAAAAAAGTAAATATGTCTTATTATACCTAAGAAACTTTTTTAAAGAAAAAATATAATCTATTTTGCAATATAATTTTCACTAAGCTGCAATTATTCTAAGTTGTAAAAATAATTTTTGTAGAAAATATTATTATCCTCTCTTTCTGAGTGGGTTTAAACTATAGGATTGAAAAGATATTTTAAAAGCTCATACAAAAATGATCGTAAATGTAAAGCACTATATGAAATATGCCAAAACTAAAAAATTTTGAGTAGCTTAGATGGTTACATAAGCTCAGTTTTAACAAAATGTTTGAAAGTTATAATTCCATTTCTCCCCTTAAAAAATATTTTTATATAAATTAACAAGTCATTTTTATAATCTTTGAGAGGAAAATGTGACAAACGGATTACTAAGCCCATTCAGATTCCATCTTTCGATAATAACACAAAACTTAATTGTATAGTACGTTTAAACAAAGTGGTATATTAGTAAAATTGATAAAAATAGGTTTATTTAATTGAGATACTTTGAAAGATAATTATTCTAAAAATATCCATCGTAATAACATGAATAAATAATCATAGACTTAAATAAATATTTGAATTAATTATTTTTGCAATTTTAAATGATTGCAGATCTGTCAAAATAATATTAAAAAATAGATAATATTTTTTTCTTTAAAAAAACTTCTTAGAATTTTTAACAGTTGTAATGAGAGTTAAGAGTTATTAAATTAGAGTTAATACTTCTTTTAGACGTGTATAGTTGCCTTGGCAGATATAGAATCTATGATGTCATTCGGCTATTTTATATTACCCATAAATAAATAAATAACAGTTAGTCTGAAAAAAATATTGCCACTAAAATTGTTGTTATTTTTTGAGTTATATTTTTTTAAACTTGAGTATTTTGTTTAGTTGGGTAGTTCTTAAAATGAATTATACTAAATTCTGTCTCTTAAATAATCATTTTATTTTATGATAAATTTCCAGGAGCATTTTGTGATTTAGTGTGGTCTGATCCTGAAGATATTGAAAAATGGACTGTTAGTCCACGTGGAGCTGGATGGTTATTTGGATCTAAAGTTACTGAAGAATTTATGGAAAAGAATCAGCTTGAGCTTATTTGCAGAGCGCATCAACTTGTAAATGAAGGTACAGTAAGACATTTTTATAAAACTAAAATGTTTGTATAAATTAATTGAGAAATTGAAATATATTTTAGATAATTTTTAATTTTCCAAAATCAAAATATTTTGGAATAAATTGAATAAAAAAAATTATTTTTTAAACTATATTGTCTTATTTTTTTTTTTCTTTATAATTCTCAAAAAATATATTTAATATGATAGTGTAAAACATGATAAAAAATTTTGATTAATATATTTTCGGATGCTACAGCAAAGATATAAAACTACTCATTAGTTGATATATGATTTAATTTTTATTTATATTTTTAACTTTTTTTTTAGTTTTAAATAGTTATTGTATTGATTAATATATTTTTACAGGTTATAAGTATATGTTTAATGAAAAATTAGTGACAGTTTGGTCAGCTCCTAATTACTGCTATCGTTGTGGTAATGTAGCATCAATATTAGAATTTTCCACAGTTCATGAACGTAAACCAATATTATTTAATGCAGTTCCTGATGACCAACGAGTCATTCCAGACAAAGCAGCTACACCATATTTCTTGTGATAGAAATAAACGAAATTGCTTGTCAAAGAATTTCAAATTATTTAAGATCTTTTTTATTATAATTATATACTTATATGTTGTAATGATTACAATATGTAAAATATGTGTGTCAATATTGATTAAAAATTAAATTTTTTAGTTGAAGTATTTATTTGCTAAAGATTTTAATTTTTGTAACTATTATGAATTTAAATAACAATACGTAAAAGAGAAGTACTTCTGAAGTATCATATCACTATATCATTTTAAAATGATTGTAAAATCAATGTAATATAGTAGGGACTGCTCAGCGTAAAAATTTAAGCTGGAATATCATTTTGTACAGGCTACATTTTACACAATAACATTTCTGGTCAGCAGGCTGTTATAACAGTTCAGGCCACTGAACTCTCCCAGTAATCTAGTGGACCAGGCCATCACAGTGATATAGACTAACTCGGATTTAGGAATGTGATAGCCTTAGGGCTGCCAAAAATATAAATATTTTTGCTCTATTTTTGGTTAATCATCTTATTAATTATATTATTTTTTTATTATAACTAGTTAAATATATTTGTTGTCATTAAAAAAATAAACTTTTTAAAAAATTTAGTCATTTCTTAAAAAAAAAAAAAAATGGGATGCAGATACGTGTAAGGGCCCCTCTTAATCCGCGCCTAAGTTTAAATCCAATTAAAATAAAAAATTTTAATCTTTTTGATATAAAAAAAAAAAATTATTTTATTACATAAAATAATGACAAAAAAAATAAGACCTTTTAAATCTGATATAAAATAATAAAAAAATTAGCAATAGATGTATAGTAATCTTACTTTTCTAAATAATCTGGCATTATGTTAAAGATTGTATAATCACGGGCGTAGTTTGAATCATTTGTTTGCATAAATTTAGTAAATCTGAAGTATAGATGTAGTGAGGAAGCTTCTCAACTATATTGATTAATTTCCTTCCCTTTTCCCAAGAAAAAATCAGTCAATTTAAAAAAGCTACAAATGATTTTAGGCGAGCTTCAGTATTTGAAAAATAAAAGCATTCCTTGGATTTAATGAAATGCATACATGACCGTACTTTTTTTTTATACACGTGGTGAATGCAAATTTATTTAATTTTTATAGGAATGCCAACTAATTTCAATTAAAATATAAAAAAAAATGTTAAAATCTCTTACCAGAAACCTCAACAAAAATGTTATAAAACTTAAAGATGGTCGTTCTGTATCCTTCGATAAGTCAAGAGTCAACAATTTTAATCATAGAACTAGATTTTGTACTTATTTCTTATCCATATTCTGTAAACTAAAATAGTTACAGAGTTATTAATTGTATATACTTATTACTAAAAACAATTATCAATATTTTAGTTTTTTTCCATTTGATTATTTCATAATGAAATATTTATTATTATTAAACTTGTTGATGGTGTAGTATATTTATCAGAAACCTGTTTATTTTATTCTATTACTTTAACAAAAAAAGATCTTCGGAATGCATTTCAAATTTTTTATGCATGTAAATGCATTTTTTTTCTGGAAATTGTAAATTATTTTTTTAATTAATATTCCAAACATTGAGAGTTTAAGCCTCCGTGCAAATTACGCTAAAAAACATGCTTGTTGAGTTTGAACTCCATAATCTTTCTTTTTTGAATAGTATATTCATTTATGTAATAAGTATTATTATATAAATTTATACACTTATAATCGTTTTTCAGTAAATTACTAGATTTATTTAGACTTGTAGTGTGATGAAAAAAATTAATTGGTTATCATATGGAAGAATGGGGCTAAATTAGTTCTCTCATAATTTTATTACTAAGTAAATTGCATTATTTATGGAGATCAATCGAGTTAATATCAATACTCAATACAAATTAAGTTATATTCCTAATTTTACATTCTTATTACTAAGATACTTAGTAATAATAAACTTTTAATATTCATCTAAATAAAATCTTCATTTTATATTTAAAATTTAAAAGTTAATTTTATTTAATAATAATTTTTGATGGGTTTTAAACGTACTATTATAATAATTTTCAATAAAAAAAATTAAGATTTTTCTGTATATTTGAATATGTACATCTATTCCATTATAACCACAGCCTGCAAACCATTGTAAAAATAAGTGGGTCAATCTGTAAGCGAAAATGTTGGGTGCGCAAGTATACCAACATTCAACCTCTTCAGGATAGGTATTGATTAAACAGTTTCAATTCTTCAAGGTCAATTTTAGTTTAACTAGGTCATACAAGTCCCTTATAAAGAATCATCACAAACATTCTTAAAATACATTTAGTTTCCGGAAAAAAACAAATAATTTTTTTATAAAATACCCAACTATTAATGAAAATCCTATATTTGTATAACTCACGCTTAAAATGTATTAATACTTTAAATGTTTTGTTAAAAATTGTTCGAATAGATTAATTTTTTATAATTATTATAATGTTTACACATACATATACACTATGCATATTTATATTATACCAAACTATTAGAAAAAATTTCCTTTTTTAATTTTATTAGAATTTTGCAATATAATTATTAGCTAGCCATCTATAAATAGGTTATTTCAATCTTTTCAGCACAAGAAATTTTTTTTTTTTGTAAATATATTTATTGACAATTTATACAAACTATTTTTGATTCAAATATGTTCAATATCTATTATCCATGTATATTGAAAAAATACATTTCGTGATAAACGATTTAAACAAATTGTAACCTACAATATTTGATATTACTGAATTTTTCGAGTAGCTTTAACCTGGAGTCTTTAGGCCTTACTCAATTGAAAAATTATAGATCCTTTATGGTAGTATATTAGGAATTTATTATGTAAAGGTTCCGTATAATTTCTATATAGTAGAGAAATGGAGATTTTACCCCTACACTCTCTTCGATCACTATTATTTATGTTAGGAGGTCCATCTAGATCCGTCTGCACTCTTTTAGTAAATACGCTATTGCCACCCTTTTGTAAATCATTGAAAAAATTTAGAAAATATGTCTCGGGAGAGTACAAATTTTAGAAGACTGATTGGTTGCAGAGAAATTATCAATACATTAAATTAAAGCTGATAATAATACCTATATCTTACATATTCCTATATTTGATAAATATATATTATTATATATTGATATATGTACATCTGCAAAAATGATTCAAGAGAGCTATCATAATATATATAATTTGATCATTTTTTTTTTTGTGACATCTAATTAAATGCTTCTCCCTCAGTTGAATAATATATAGTAGGTATTAGTAATAATAATAGTATTCTAGTTTATGACAATCAGTGTTTGTACGTCAAGAACATTTGGAAATACATTTAAAATAAACATTTCAAAAATATTCTTATCTTAGTTATTGAAAACTCACGAGAGTTTAGTACTAATATATTTTTCAAATTAATTAATTAAATTTTTCTTAGTTCCCATATAATAATTATAAAACATTAAAAAACAAAAAAGCTAACAAAATTGAGTATATTAATAAATCAGGGGATGATAATAGCCTAGTGGGTAGAATCGTATGTTTCGGCATACGGGGTCCTAGGTTCAATCTTTAGGGTGCCAACGAGATTTTTCTTGTGGTTTTGTCATTGGTAGTGTCTGGTCTCTGATACAAGCCGACCATAATACCCGTCCCGTCTATCATTGGCTTAGCCAAGAGCCACCTTTGACTCTTTAACATATGATAGTGGGCCACCACTCTCTGAACATGTTAAGTTCGGGAAATAGAAGGATGTAAAGATGATAATTTTTTTTAATTTTAATTAATTAATCGAGAAATATTTGAATCTAAAAATTACCATAAAAGATAAATATATAAATTTATTAAATTTATATAAATTTTTGTAATTTCTCCGTAAAATTTACAATATTAAATTATTCAATATCAATTTGATACTAAATTAAATTACTATAACAAGAAATTATTTCTGTATTATATTTACAAATCATTCAATGTAAATTTTTCTTGCATAAAATTTATGAATATCGATAACCCCATCATAGTAGCTTTCCTTCTATATGGTATTTTAAATTAAAGTAAAAAAATATGTCAGATAAAAGGGATATGTGTGTATTACTTACACAAAAAAACTATATTGATACATACATTTTTCAAAATGTTATAGCAATATAAAGTTGAAAAAATAAAATATGAAATCGAAATTTTTGATACAAAAGTAGGGTATTTTTTAAATACTGTGACCATTTTGACATAGAAGATAATTCATCAGGATAATTTTTTTTTAACTTATAGTACATAGCTAAAGCTTTATTTTAACATGTGTTTGAATCTCAGAGTATTTCTGAAACATTTTCAAAACTTAAGTTGAAAAAGTTAATTTTTTATACAAAAGTTGTTATTTTGAATCTCTCTTTATGGACAGATTTTGAAAGTGTCAGATTTTCAAATATTTTTTACCAAATGAAAGGGATATACTTAAGATAATTATATAAAAAAAATTTGTTTTGTTTCGTTGATTTCTAAAAAAGTTATAATAGTTGTAAGAAAAAAATATCGAAAAAATGACAAAATTTATTGATTTTAAAAATTAACATTTTTTGAAGATTTTCCCTATTTACAGTGAACGTGGGAATTTTTCAATTTTAAAGTGTAATATATTTAATTAGATACGATTTGTGATTTTCTGACATATCATTAAAAGAAATCGATAAGAACTGAGAAAAAGTGTCGACAGTCATAAAAAAATAACACATAGTATAATTAATACCTTTTAAACTTCGCACAAAGCTAAAAATTACGTGTATCTATTAAGAAATTACTAACTGACGTATCCTTAACATTATTGCCCAACGCCCCATGGCCAAAAAAATTGTATCGGTCATGCTTACTACAAAATATAAAAGTAATGAGAAAAAAGTCAAAAATCAATTTACAAAGTTGAATATGCTATTTATAGCGGTTGTTATCGCTCCTATGGTTAACTACATAATAGGCGTCGAGTGAAAAGGAGTCTTAACCCCTCCTGTTTACAATTTAGCCCCCTCCCCTAAAAAAAAATTTACCACCATTGTTGTTACAAAAGTGGCTTTTGTAACAACGTCCAAGAAGGCAATTGCCTCTTGCCCAGTTCAACCCGTCAAGGTCTGAAATTCGTATTTAAATTGGAGTACTTTTCAGAAGCTGGAATATTTTTTTTCGCAAGTAAGATAATATTAATTTTATTTAAGTCATTGGCTCCTGAGCACATATTAGCCATTGAATTACTAACCGTATAGCATACAATATAGGGCTTTAGCTTTAAAATTTTGTAATTAAACTTCTTTACAAATATCCAAATTATTTATACGATTTTGATGTCCCTGTTTATCCTTTAGTCTGTCTTCATCAGGGTTTTAAACTTCCAGTAAGAATAATCTGATAAATTTGCAAATCTAAAATTTTCAAAAGAGATATTTAATTTCTTTTGTGACCAATATATGATTTTTTTTTGCAAATTTATCATATGAATTTTTTTTGGTCATTCAATAGATTCATAATGACATGAAGACGGTATTATAAAATAGAGGTACACTCTCCTATGATACTGGTCTTTTTAATTTTCACTTATTTATTTTAATTAAAATTCTTAATATTTAACACTCCAAAGGAGATTAACAATTCCGATAAAAATATTAAGTGTGATCGACAAACTTAAATTAACAAGAGGAGAGATTAAATATGTATGTCACAATTTCAAGTAGCCATTATTGTTATATTTGTTACGCTCTTATTGAAATTTGTCAAAAGTATTATACAATTATAACTCTAATCATTCCGGTATTTATCATGTGAGTTGTGGGCGTTATGAATGAGGAAAGTCTGTTTCATGTTGTCGATAACGAATACATAAACATATCACTAGCTCTAAAACGGGCAGAATAAGAATCGATAAAGGGTCGGTAACGGCGTGATGGCGCTGTGAGCTTTTCCTCTAGTTCAAAGTGGGTGGGATTTGACCGTTTCCATCCACTCGACAGCCGCTGTTCGGCAATCTTATGACATAAATATTCTTTTTTACGTTTGTTTATTATTTATATCAAATTAGAAAATAAATACCATAAAAATTAAAAAAATATATTTCCAGACAAATGTTTATTATTATTTTTTCAAAGGCCGTGATGTAAATTAGTGGATTATTTTTTTGTCGTTTTAAAGGCGTTTGAATTCGAGCGCGCTTGTTGTTGAACAGCAATTGTCAGTCGCCAAGTTAGTTTTCCGTTCGTAGTCAGTCGGTGTCATTCGGATTCCGATAGCGTTGGACTAGTCGTCTTTCCATTACACGCACACGAATAATAATAATATTGTAATCATTTTCGTATTTCATTGTGCTTTTTTCCGTCCGTATGTTTTGCTGGTGACGTACTGTTTGCCGTCGGTGTGATTCGCCGTATGCACGGCTTTTATTTCATTAAACATATTGTTCAGAGTGTATTTAGTGTGATATTTTAAGAGTTCAACACCTGTAGAAGTTCGGGCAAGTGCCCGACTCTAAATTATTTTAGAATGGCTGGAAATATGGGCATGGAGCAGTTGATACCTATTGTCAACAAGCTTCAGGATGCTTTCACACAACTTGGTGTACACATGCAACTGGATTTACCCCAGATCGCTGTAGTTGGTGGACAAAGTGCAGGGAAAAGTTCTGTACTGGAAAATTTTGTTGGAAGGTAACATTATTTTTACTGTCATATTTGTTATTTTCATGAAAAAATATTTTTTAAATTCCATCTATTTAATATTTATAGAGATACTTAAAAAATTAAATTCTCATTACATCATATTTGAATGAATTATTTTAAATTTAGTTGAATACTAACATAAATTAATCATATTATAGTTTATCCAGAAATAGATAAAGTATTTTATTATATTATAGAGAAATTCAGTGAAACGATCATTGTCATATTGAATTAAAAATTACTATTAAGATGCATGAGGATGATATTAATTATTAAGTAACTAGCATATTATATTTGAGTCATTAATAAATTAACGTTGACATATTAAATTAGTCATGAAATGATGTGATGAAAATTAATCATTAGATGAAATATAGTAATGCTATTATACCCAAGAAGATTGACATAATTAAAACATTATTTTTTTCTTTTTAAGAGTTTTTAAGACTATCCTTTGTTCTATAATTTTCCAAAAAAATTTAGTCCTATTTTAAAATAGTATCTTTATAAATTTTTTAAATGGAAACATATATGTTTAAAAGTTTAAAAATAAGAAAAATATTATATTAAGGAAATGATCGATCATTAACAACTTTTGAACTAGTATTATGGATGTTATTAACACTTTACAAATATGATTAGAGATGAAGTACGAATCAATTTATATTTATCTAAAGGCATTTTAATTTATTTGTAACAGCACAACTCGTCTTGCTATAATATCTTTTAAAATACTAATTCAAGTTATTATTGACCAATTATTTTTTATTAGGGTAATTTTCTTACTTTTAAGCTAGTTAAAGATACATGTCCTTAAATACGCCTTACAAAATATCTTTGTAAATATTAGAGCTAATCATTATTTTATTTTTTTAATGATAATGGATCTATGTTTGGCTGCTTTACACAAAGAATTAATTTTCTGTTAGCATTCTTTATACTCATATCTCATATCAACTTTCAATTTTCAAATGACAATCCCAATTGTTTTTTTATTCTATTATATTTATTCAATTAAAACAAAAATTTTTTGTTCAAAATTAGTTTAAATTATTCAACTTTTCATGAGTTATAACTATTTAAAGTTTAGGGGCAATCAGAAAAAAATGTTATCTTTTTTTAAAAGATAGTAATATTATTATATCGTATAAGTGTTACTTATACTAATTCATATAAGTATAATAAACCGTACATCTGGTGATCTAAAAAAATTGGGATTGCTGTTTGAAAATTGAAAGTTGATATGAGTTAAAAGTATAAAGAATGATAACAGAAAATTAACTTTTTGTGTAAAGCAACTAAACATAGATCCATTATTGTTGATTAATAATATCATATTAAAGTGTCAGTTAAAATAATTTCTTCCTTTGTCATATCAAAATTTGGTTAGGTTTATTTCTTCTTTTTAACGCTTTATACGACATAAGGGCCATTGCGACTTTCCCCAAAGGAGGAGGTTTCTATACCATTGATACTCCGGGACGGATGGTTAGTCCGTTGCTAAAGATAAGGATGGTGACTCCAATTACCAAACTGATCTATTGTTTGACAAATATTGTCGCCCATGACACGAGGCAGTGCATTTTAGCATTAACGAATCGGCCACACCGTCCCGTTAGGTTTATTTATACTTCCTATTTAGTAAAATCTGTTTGAAAATTATATCAATGAATGATAAGTATTTTCATTTAGTTATTTATTTTCTCAATACTTAAAGACCTTTCTCGTTAAAATTTTTTTCTTGTTATTAATAATATAACTTGTAGATATAATTAGCTTATAAGTTTTATTTTATTAATTTTATAAGTCTTCAATTATTTTTTCATCATAACCCTGATTTACTAATAAGCGTAAATAAAAAAATTATCCTCCCAAAGTTTTGAAAATTCTATATTTTGATTTTTATAAAAAAAATGAACTTATGGTAGTAATTTAGCATCCCTAATATTTTTATTCTTAAGAGTTTATTTTATTTTTTCTTTAATTTTTACTTCTGTTTGTTCAATAATATAAATATCATATAATATTCTATTTCTCGACACCTTTTACAGATAATACCACTGATATAACTATTATTTAAAATATTGTATTATTCATGCATTACACAATTAAGAAAAAAATATTTTGTATCACTGAATATTATGATAGATACTATTTAAATTTTGCTTTTAAAAAGTTAACCCAATTTTAAAAAATTATATATACTTTAATATTAATGTATATACTATAAATTATATTTCGCAAAATGTAGTTTTCAATAAATAATTAATAGTCAATTTATACACTATTATTTAGTGAATTTTAATATTATTTTTTATTTGGTTATTTAAAGTTGGAAAGAATCTCTTGACATATGCTCCTGACCTTATGACTTGTCGTTTAAATTGTACTTATTAGTTGGTAGACAGTACAATCTTAAATTTGTTGTGATATGTATGAACTATTAAAATTACGTTATTTATACATAAATCATATAGCATTAAATTAAGTACATTTTTAAAAATTGGTATTTGTTAAAATGTACAGAATTTTATATATTTTTAAGCGCATTTTATTATTTATTAATAACTATTACACATTTTTTATTTTTGATAGTAATATTAAAATTAATTAAAATTAAATTAAAGTTATTTTTAATAGTTATATTCTATAGTAATAATTTGTTTTATTAATCATACTTTTTTAAAATTTTTATAGAGATTTTCTACCTAGAGGTTCAGGAATTGTAACACGTCGGCCATTAATTTTACAACTTATTCAAAGTACATTAGGTAAGTTTTATATTTAATTAAATACATAATTAGAAATATTTGTTTGAGGTTCTGACTATTGATAATAACAAATAGCAGTAGTAGCTATTTTACAGTAGTAATTGTACACTACTATTCAATTTGAATATTACCAGTGATTACTAAAATTTGTATTATAGGTTCATTTTCTTTATTTCTTTCACTGTATAAATTAGTTCTACAAAATAGCAGTATCTTAGTTATTGGTATTTCAATCACAGACTATATTTTAATATAGCACGTAACCACCAAATGGATAATATATAAATAATTATTAGTTATATTAACATTATATATATAAATATTTTTTTTATTAGTTGTATTAACATAATCAATTTAGATAATATAACGAAAATTATAACAATAAATTACTATTGAAAAACAACAAATTACCACCACTAAATCAAACAATCTTAAATTTAAGTAGTGTATGTTTCTACACTATTGTGTAATGTCCCTTGGTAGTTCATTTTAAGTATCATATTTTAGAGGCAAATTATAGATATAAACTTAAATTTTTAAAGGCAGTAAAAACTTTAATGTGCCTTTCAGTTCAGGTAAATTCTAATATCAAAAAAAATTAAAAAATAAGTTTTTGTTTTAACAAATTTAATAAAAAATCATTTGTATCTATTTGTTAGAAAATTAGATTAATTAAATATGTGTATTATGATTTGTCTACTATTAATCTCTTAATTTATCGTAAAATGAAAAATATTTCAAAATAGAAAAGCTAATATTATAAAAATAATAATGCAATTTTTTTGTATCTCCTAAATTACTGAAAAAAAAATAGAGATAGCAATAGTTATTGTACTGAAGTATTCTGTAATAATCAAGAAATAAAGTAAGATAAAAAAATTCATAATTTTTTTTGTTTATGTGAAAATGAGTAGTTAATATAGCATACTACTTAAATTTATTTAATACAATGTTGCTAGCTCAACTTGTATTATATTGGATATTTTTATGATTCATAGATGCCATCATATTAAAATTAAGATAAAAAAATGAATTAAGAGACATTTTAAAAATTAATCATCATTGAATATATTATTTAGATAATAATGTTTTCACTAAATTTGTTTTGTTATGCAATCAATTAATGTTTTTACTTTTTAGAATATGGAGAATTTCTGCATTGCAAGGGAAAAAAGTTTTCAGAATTTGATGAAATACGACGTGAAATAGAAGCAGAAACAGATAGAATGACAGGTTCCAATAAAGGGATATCCAATATACCTATCAATCTTAGAGTATACTCACCAAATGGTATGTTTAATCTTAATTTTGATATTATAATATAAATATTTATTAAATATTAAAACAAATAGATTTTTAGTATACTGATTAAACATTTTAATTTATTAAAAAAATGTTAATATCAACTATATAATAAAATTCAAATTATATTTTAATATAATTTATAATTTATATAATATACCATTATATTGTTGATTATGGCTTCAATTAACAGTCCTAAACATCACATTGATTGATTTGCCTGGTCTCACAAAAGTGCCTGTTGGTGATCAACCAGCAGACATTGAACAACAAATTAAAGATATGCTGTTCCAATTCATTACTAAAGAGACTTGTCTAATTTTGGCTGTAACACCAGCTAATACTGATTTGGCTACTTCAGATGCTTTACAAATATCTAAACAAGTTGACCCTGATGGTAAACATTGATTTCCAAGTTTATTAGCCAATTTATTAGTTTTATATCAAATATTCTGTGATGATTTTTAGTGCTCGTTAGTACTTTATTTAGCTTTTTTTATTATATTTGGTACAGTTTTTATTACAATTTGAGTTGTAATTATGTAAAAGAAAAAATTGGTTGAATAATTCCTATTGTGTATAAATAAGTATCACCTAATAAGTGAAATACGTAAATATCTGGTTTTTTTTTTTTATTGAATAGCTTTTTTTTTTTTTTTTTTGTAAAGTAGTTGTGTTTTAGTGTTGCTAGTTTTTTTTTTTCAGTATTAAACCTGACCCTTGTTGATTTACCCGGCATGACAAAAGTTCCTGTTGGGGATCAACCACCTGATATAGAGTATCAAATTAGATCTATGTTACTTACTTTTATTAAAAGAGATAATTGCCTAATATTGGCAGTAACTCCTGCTAATCAAGATTTAGCCAATAGTGATGCATTAAAAATATCTAAAGAAGTTGATCCAGAAGGTAAGCTAAGTATTAAACAAAATAAAAAAACAAGCATTATAATTTTACATATATTATTCAGAAATACTTTTTTCATTAAAATCTACAGAAAAGCTAAATTATTTTTATGTATATTACTAAAATAAATTGACTAAATTAAGTAAATATATTTACTTTAATATTAAGTAATGATTAGGATCCCAAATATTTTTTGTTCTTGAAGTATTTTAATGTTTTTAGTATGAGTTTATCTTACAAACTAGTTTACTTTACTATTTTATTTTATTTGAAATTTCACATTTAAATGTTTTCTTTGAAGCATTTTAGTTCAATTATTATCACCAATTTAAAATTTTTAGTATTTTATATATAGAGTAATGGATTAAATTATTAATAAATTTAAAATTCTCATATAGAAAGAAATTTTGATTCAAAAATTTCTACAATAATATGTTGTTAAATAATATTTTTCTCACCAGAGTTTAACCTGAAGTTTAATTTTCTATAATGAGAACCCCTATTTTTAATTCAATTGTTATGATAGAAAAGAAATTTCAAAACATGTTGATCTTATAATTTTTTTATTTTATGAGTTTTCTTCTGTTATTGATTGTTAAAGTTTAGCGATTTTTGACCAATTTTCTATTGAAAATTTGTTGTTTAGTATATAATAGTCATAAATTCTTCACATTGTCACATAATCAAATTTTTATTGACTCTTATTTTCATATCTTACGTTTCCAATAACTAGATTTAATACCCGTTAATAATTTATGTCCAATTGACTATGGTTGTTTCTTATATTATAAAAACTAAATAAATAATGAATTTTTATTTTAAATACAATTATTTAAACAGTTTTAAAATGCAAACAGTTGATTAAATTATAAAAAAAAAATTATTTTTTATTATATAATCAAACTAAAAATAGGGATTTCCATATAAAAGAAAAATTTGGTTTTTTATCCTTATAAGTATAAAAAAAAGAATACATATTATTTTAGAATTTTTTGAAATAAACAGTATTTTCTTTTACAAAGAAACAAAAGTGAGTGTCTTATACTTAATAATTTTGTGTAATAGTATAAAATTAAACTTTATTTATAATATGTTTAGTTGTATATAATTAATGCATGTAAAAGATTTTTTATGTAATTAGTATTATAAAGACTTTATTTGTTTAATATTAAGTTAAATTAAAAAAAATATATTAAATAGTTTTTTTTTCTTCAATGAAATGTAGGAATGAGAACTATTGGTGTTATCACCAAATTAGATTTAATGGATGAAGGAACTGATGCTAGAGATGTGCTTGAAAATAAACTTTTACCTTTAAGACGTGGTTATATTGGAGTAGTAAACAGAAGTCAAAAAGATATTGATGGCCGCAAAGATATTAAGGCAGCATTAGCTGCAGAAAGAAAATTTTTCTTAGGGTAAAATTTACAAAATAATATAAGCTCAATAAGTATATTCTCAATTTTTTTTGTATTAGGCATCCATCGTACAGACATATGGCAGATAGACTTGGAACACCCTATTTGCAGAGAGTCCTGAATCAACAACTTACAAACCATATTAGAGATACATTACCTGGCCTTCGAGATAAACTACAGGTAATCTTTAATATTTAATTTTACAATTTTAAAAATTAATTAATTTTTGTATTTAAAAAAATAAGTTAGTATTTTTTTTTATATTGTAATATTTTTAATATTTTTAATATTTAAATAATTATAATTAGAACAAAACTTGTAGAAATTCAAGTAAATATTCATTAAAAAATTAAAATTTATAAAAATAAATTAAATTAATTATATTTTTACAATTTTTTAATTTTAAATTTAAGAAAAATTTTTGTTGTTTCATAATATGTTAGTGAAATTAATAATTTAAATGCCTTCTAAAAATTTGTAAACAATTTTTTTTCTATTGTGTTAATATTTTTTGATTGTTAAATGTTAAATTTTATTTAATTTTTTTAATTTTACAAAAATAATATTTTATAAAGTATATTTGATGTTAATAGAAACAATTACTTACGTTAGAGAAGGATGTAGAACAATTCAAATATTTTAGACCAGATGATCCTGCTGTAAAAACAAAAGCAATGTTACAGTAAGAAAACAAATTAATTTTATATGTATACTGAGTGATTTACTCAACAATATTCCCATGTGTCACTTGTTAACCCACCCAAAAATTAATTTTTTTTCTATTATTCAAAACTGTTATTTTCATTTTTCATAAAAATTCTTTTAAAGCATGTGATTTTTAACAAAATAGTCTTTCTCTTCTCTTCTTCCTCGTCTTAATCCCAACTACTTGGTGTTGGCCATCCTTATCCGAAACTTCCACTTGACATGATAATTTTATAATAGTAATTTATATAATAGTAATTTATTAATTTATATTTTTAATTTTTTTATAGGATGATACAACAGCTACAATCTGATTTTGAACGCACAATTGAAGGTTCTGGTTCTGCTCAGATAAATACAAATGAATTATCTGGAGGTGCTAAAATTAATCGTTTGTTTCATGAACGTTTTCCATTTGAAATTGTAAAAATGGAAATTGATGAAAAAGAATTGAGAAGAGAAATAGCATTTGCTATAAGAAACATTCATGGTAAAATTATTTAATGCTATAATTATACTTGGTAGATTCTTGATGTATAAAAGTGTTAGAATTAAAAGTTGGTCTTGGTACAATATATTTCTAGACTAAATAAATCTTAAAAAATTTTATTTGAAAAACTATTCAATAACTTATTTTAATCATGCAATTTATTCACAATAACTGGGAGACTTAAGGTGGCATATATATTATTTTTACATTTACAAATTTTGTTTTGTTATCTTTGTTATATAGGTATAAGAGTTGGTCTATTTACTCCTGATATGGCTTTTGAAGCAATTGTTAAAAAACAAATTGCTAGGTTAAAAGAACCAGCAATAAAATGTACAGATCTTGTTGTGAATGAATTATCCAATGTGGTTAGAATATGTACCGATAAGGTAAAAAAAAAACTGAAAATGAAATTCAACAAATTCATGTTGCCTAACAAAATTATTATTTAAGATGTCTAGATATCCTCGTTTACGTGAAGAAACTGAACGTATTATAACATCTTATGTCAGAAGTCGGGAACAACTATGTAAAGAGCAATTGATTTTACTAGTTGAGTGTGAATTAGCTTATATGAATACAAATCATGAAGATTTCATTGGATTTGCAAAGTAAGTTTTTTGGTAATTTATTGTGTTCATAAGGTAAAAAAAATAATTAATATTTTTTGTAATATTATACTTTAGTGCGCAACAGTCATCCGATAATTCAAATAAAACTCATAAATTAGGAAATCAAGTGATTCGGAAAGGTTGGATGTGTATTCATAATTTAGGTATTATGAAAGGTGGATCTAGAGATTATTGGTTTGTTTTGATGTCTGAAAACATCTCCTGGTTTAAAGATGAAGAGGTATTAAATTAGTATATATATGATAGAATTTTTATTGAAACTTTTCATTATTATAAATTTAAGGAGAGAGAAAAAAAATACATGTTACCTTTAGATGGTTTAAAAATAAAAGATGTTGAACAAGGATTTATGTCACGCCGACACACTTTTGCCTTATTTAATCCCGAAGGTCGAAATGTGTATAAGGTAATATTATTTACTTTTATTTTGTGCATAAATATTTAATTTTAATAATTGTGTAGCTACAGTTTAACAATAAGTGTTGTATAACCAGCTTATAATAGTTTATATAGGTGGCTCATAACCATTTTGATTCAGTGCCTCTTTCGTATTGCAACTAATTTCATATTTACTAACTTCTAACCCTTATTATTCTCATTAAAACAAATTGATTGGTAGTTAAAATATACTATTTATGTACTAAATTTTACAAATTATGTGTGATTTTAAGAAAAAGCTAATAATGAATTTGCTTAACATAAAAGTTCTAACCTATCTTTCTATGACTGGCTAAATACCACTTATTTTATATTATCTTAAATCAAAATAAAATTTTGTTTTATAAATTAAAAAAATAAAAGGTTATATTATTATATATTATAGGATTATAAACAACTAGAATTAAGTTGTGAAACCCAAGATGATGTTGATTCTTGGAAAGCCTCATTTTTGCGTGCTGGAGTCTATCCAGAAAAATCCTCGGATACATCTAATAGTGATGAGGTAATCATCTTTTAAATGACTATTTATAATTTTTATTTATACTGCTTAACACTTTATTAATTTTTTTCAAACTTTCTGATCAGGATGGTCGTGAGGTTAGTAGCGTTTTAAAAAATTTTCTGCTAATAATAAAGCTTTTTTCATTGAAGTTTTTCTACATAAATAATGTAATTAAAAATAATTAAATATTTAAATTTTTAATTGAATATAGAGCAATTCAGAATCTACTACATCTATGGATCCAGTTTTAGAAAGACAAGTTGAAACAATTAGAAATTTGGTTGATTCATATATGAAAATTGTCACTAAATCTTGTCGTGATCTAGTCCCTAAAATCATCATGCACTTGATTATAAATAATGCTAAGGATTTTATTAATGGAGAATTATTGGCTCACTTGTATGCATCAGGCGATCAGGTATGAAATCATTAAAAAACTTTTTATTTTGTAATAATAAAGTGAATTACTATATTATTTTTAATTAATTTAAATATGGGTGATTTTATTTTTTGATTTATCTTTATCTAATGGTAATTCTAATATCTAATAGTAAAAGTTTAGAAATAGATTTAAAATATTTTTGCAATAATATCAAAAAAATAAAATGATTATTATTTTATAATTATAATTTATATATGCATAATATTAAAGGTGTTGATATTGATTTAAAGGAAGCATTCATGGATTATCTAAATCCTAGTAAATACAATAGCAAAAAAAAAATTTATCTAAGTTATTTCTCTGAAAATTTAAAAATATGAAATTCAAATAAAAAAAAAAAAATCAAAAGTGAAAATATTAATTTTACATTATTTCAGTCTCAAATGATGGAAGAAAGTGCAGAAGAAGCAGTAAAACGAGAAGAAATGATGCGTATGTATCAAGCTTGTAAGGAAGCTTTAAGAATAATTGGAGATGTATCAATGGCAACAGTTACTACACCTGTTCCACCACCAGTAAAAAATGATTGGCTAGCATCTAGTCTTGATAATCCTAGGTGTGTTTAAATTACTTATTTTAAGTTTTTATATATAGTTTAACATTGTGTTTTTCTATAATTAATATAAGGTTATCTCCTCCTAGTCCTGGAAGTGCTGGGCGTAGAGGAGTACCTTCAAATCAACCTCCAACTAATGCAGCTTCTAGAGCACCACCTCCTCCTCCAGCTTCAGGAAGACCCGCTCCTGCTATACCTAATCGACCTGGGCCAGAGCAAGGACGACAACCACCAGCTCCACCAGGTAGACCCGGAGGACAAGGTTTACCACCCCCATTAATTCCTTCGTAAGTTGAAATCGTATTTCTGCTTCTATTAAACCAAATTAAAAATGGATTTATTTCATTGACAATAATTCATGAAATATTCCTATTTTTTAGTATATAGCTATATAAGCTTTTTCTAATAGTTATTTGCTAAATAGCTATGTACTTAAGTTTAAGTTCTTACTAACAAGTAGTTAGTTAGAGCTACTAACATATTACATTAAGGTGCAACGGCGATGGTGTGGTTTTTTTTATATTTCAGACGCCGTTAAATTGTGTCTTCAAGCATGTCTTTGGTGGCCAGTTTAAATCAGCAACTTCATTAATAATTAAATTAATTATTTCACAACCATCTGATATCTACAATAATAAGCAAGCAAAAGCTTGATTCTGATTATTAAAATAGATTATTACTTTAGAAATTTTTAACATTATTACACAAAAAAATAATTGAAAAGTTGTCTTTTTAACTTGACATCGTTTAGTTAAAACCAGTTGTATTTCATACAGTATAAAAAGTTAGATTACTTATCATTGTTTAATTTTGGTGATTGTTATATGTTATTTGTTATTAAATTCAAAAAAAAAACTTTAAATTTCCCTATATTTCATATTTCTTTTTAAATTTGATATTTTCAGTTTTAAGGTGATGATTGTGGAATATAATATAAAATTACCATAAAAACTTTATGTTTAATAATTAAATACTTTATTAACAAAAATTAGATTATTTAATGTAGCATAACATACTTCCATTAAAAATTAAGAAAAATGTTTTAAATGGCTTGATACATACTTAAAAACTAACAAAATAAATTCAGGCGTTACATTGAAAAAACTAATTATCACTTTCATATTTTTTTAACCCTCTTTTAGGAGTTATAGAAAAAAATTTAGATAAAAATATTACTTTTTATCCACCCTTCAAAAAATGTTCTTTTATTTACACATGCATAATGTTGCATGTTTATTCATATAATTTATCACTTAAAAATATATGTTTACATTTTCTGTTTTTTAATAAATATTTAAGTGTGGAAATGCTAAAATGTAGTTTAAATTAATTTGGCTGTATAAGGTAATGTGATATTATTATCATGACAATTTTTTCTCCATTTAACATAAATTATAATTTAATTCTAATTTTTTTAATCTTAATCTTAAAATAATTTTTTTGTTATAAACTTGTATTTTTAAAATTTTAAATATTTTTTCCTGAGGTTGTTTTAAAATTTTCCTTTTCAAAATTTATAAACTCATTTAACATATAATTGTGTTAAATTAAGTATTATATTAAAGCAAAAAAATTTAATTTTACTTTTTAAATCTTAAAAAAATTCTTATTTCTATAAAAAAATTAAAATTAAAAAAAGTTTCTTTTTATAGTAACTCTTAAAAATTTTATTTATTCCTCAATTTTTAGGAATATTAAAACTATTTATTAAAAATAAAGTATAATACATTTTATTTGTACTGATATTTATAATATTTGTATAGTATACTTTTTTTTAATGATCATCTATAATAGAAATAAGTTAAAAGCATTTTGATTCTTGGCCAGTTTTTTTTATTGGTCTATACTACATCATATCCTAATTAAAGTAGTAGCTTATTGGGAAAGAATTTGAAATAACCTAGTTATAAATTCATATTATTATGGTGATAAATTGGAATAATAGGCGAGGATCTATGCCACAAATACCACAACGAGTGCAGCAAGCAGTCGGTCAAGCAGTAGCACAAGTAGCTGTAAATGAGCTCACTAATGCTTTTGCCAACCGTTTTAAATAATCTGTGGATATGTCTAACTGGTGATATAAAAAATATGGTAAGTTAATAAAATAAAATACTTATAATATTAAATTAATAGCATACTGCCTTAAATGAAATTTCTTTTTTAAACTTTGGTAATATTTTTCTGATTATCATTTTTATTGACAAATTAATTGATTTTATTTCAGCTTGCAAAAAAATCGTTTAGATACAAATTTTCTTCTATTTAAAAAACTGATGAGTGTGCAAAAAAGACAACAAAAAAAACTAAATATATAACTTGGTAATAAAATTAATATATTTTAATTTGATTTCCTAAGTTAAATCTAGAATTATTAAAAAAACATAGTCTAGATGTGATGTTTGTATTAAATCAATGTGATTATTAGATGTTAGAATAATGTTAAAACATGAATGTTTTTTGTTTGTTGTGTACATAAATAATGATATATTATTGAATGCCTCATTATATTTAAATAAGGCTCTGTTATCGTTATTTCTAATTAATTTGTTCATTCCATTAAATATCTTATAATTAATTTAAATATTTTATAGTTATTTTTTTTTACAATACAAAATTAGGCATATATTTTACTTGGAAACAACTATTTATTTATTATTTTTCAGTTGGCAATTATTTTTTAAATGTTAAAAATGTTATATTTTTATTGACTGTAAACCAAAAAAATAAATAAATATTTATTTATTTAATCATAGATTATATTATATATTGTAATGTTTAGTTACCAGAGTTCCTGCAGCTAAATACAACAAGTATTTTATTTTATATAATTTATTACCATTAAAATATATCTGATACAAATTGAATTACTATTACATCTTTAAATGTTTTATAATGATTTATCTTATAAAAAGCATTATCTTTAGTAATAATTATAATGTATCATTATTCATAAAGTATTATTACACATTTTTGTGGCTTTGCACTACTTTATTGCTTTAAATATTGTTGTAAGAGCAATAATAGATTATATGTTACTATAATTGAGATGATTTTGTTAATAATATCTTATCATCAAGAAATGTAAATTATCAATAACGTTAATAAATATACTAATAGTATTTAAATTAGTCATGAAAGACTAATTTTTTAAGTGGTTATAATGTGCAAAAATAAAATTGTAACTTGTAGAATAATCAAAATATATTTTTAAGCCAAATACCTCAAGTATAATTATTATTTAAACGTTTATGTTCTTTGTAGGCTTATAAATAATTTTAACCCTTGTTTCGGTAGACATCACAGTTATTTTTTATGTTAAATTTTATTTTCCATTTTTAAAAAACTAAACTTTTAAATCATATTGATTATTGTTTGTAATTATGGTAAATAATACAATTATTACTGCTTCTATGTTCAAAAAATAAAAAGATTAATTTGAGTTTAATATTATAGTCATAAATTGTTTTTTGCTTAAATGGAATTAACAAAATATGATACTATACAATATTGATTAGTTTTGTAGTCTTTTAAATTAATAAAAATCTAATTATAGGTAAATTATAAGTATGTATAATTTAATGTGGAAACAAGAGTCTTTGTTGCATTTTTTTTCTAGGTAAATTTTTATGAGTATTAATTTTAAGTATGAGTACAAATAGTTGTTTTTCATTACTGTTGTTAAGTGTGATATTAATTTTTAAAATATTATTTATAAATTTATTTAAAAACTAACAGAATCTATATAAATAATAAATATAACACTAATAAAATAAATTTATTGAAAATTTGAATTTACCTAGAAAAATAATAAAATGATGAACCTTGTAGACGCCATGTATGCTCATTAAATATTATCTAAAATAAAATTAGTTTTGAAATATCATAAGTACATAGGCACAATTTACAAGATTTAAGTAAGGTTTAGACCCCAAATTCTGTTGATACCATACCTAATAAATTAAGAAAATTACACATAAATTTATATATAATTTTTTTTTGGAGAAGTGAAAAAAAATTAGACCCCACAAATATCAAGTTAAAATTGTGCCTATAATTTAAATATTTAGCAGTTAAAAATTTAAAATAAGTGTTTTTATTAATTTTTTGAAAAAGAAAACAAGAAAATAAATTATCAATATCCCCAATTTAATTGTAGAATATGGTTAATAAAGACAATTGAAAATCTTAATTATTCACTGGTTGTTGTGAATAACAGAAAAGTATATATATATAATAAACAAAATATTGTTCACTAAATTGTTGTTTCTTCTAAATAATCTGATCATTAACTACTAATGCTTTTGTGGTATTATTAACATTTTGCTTGTGTGTGCTTCAATTTTTTTAATATTGTTTGAATTATCAAAATCCATTTAGAAATGGGATTAAATAATAGTTTTTATTTCTGACTCGTACTTTCTTTAGTAAAATTACTAGCTTTATGATTATAAGAAAGGTTAATGTTTGAATTCAAGTTTCTTAATTAATTAATTTCTTATTTAATTATGTTTAACATCTTCTCTAAAGAAATATTGTTTGTACCTGAGAGGATGAGTTAACCAAAACTTTTTATTATTATAATTTTTTTTTTAGACGACCTGTTAATCTAATGCCTTCACGTATGCAAAATCGTCTCCACTTCCAACGAAATTAAATTGTTATTAAAATAATGGTTGTGCCATTTTGTTACCAATTGTTTAAAATTTTTAAATAAGTTATACTATTTAAAAATTGTATTACTCCATTTAATTCCTTTTATCTGTTCCTATTGTACATCCATGTATCATATATGGTCACGACATAAACTTAAATGCTGTTTTCTGTTGAGACCAATTTTAATTTTAATTTATAGCTACCAATTAATACCAATGTAATTTTATTACAGTAAATATTTCTAATCTGTTAAGATCTTTTTTTTATAAGTTAATTTGTGTTTATTAAGCTAAACGTTAAATAATAATTTTTTTTATACAAATATTTTAGAAATTTTTATTTAAAATAGTTTAAGAACTTGATCATCATTACGTAAGGGTTATAACTAATAACTGTTTTGAAGTACAAATTTTGAAATTATTATCGAATGTTCACATTGCTCAATATTAAATTAAATTAGTTATTTTGTGAAAAAAAAATTCCTAAAGCGATCCTCTTAGAAAATTACTACATTTTTAATTCATTCTTTAGCTGTTTGAAAGTTTATTTTAAGATTTTAAAAAATGAGATAGGATAAAAATTGAAATGCATCAGTTTTTCCTAAATTTTCCTACACCTGTATGTTTTTAATATGTTCATTTATACACTAAATTTGTTCTCGGTTGATAATTTAAAAAGAAAATATTTCTATTTTAAATTTATAGTCTGATTAGGTTTTTGCTGAGGGTTGATGAATACTAAAGCCATATCTATCCATAATTTTCTATAAAAACAGATGAATTTTTTTGCTGATCTAACAAGAAAAATTTTCTAACTAGTTTTTCTTTTATAATAAAATTTAGCGCTACAGTTTATTAAAACATGTTAGATATTTTTTAAATATCGACTAGAAAAAAAATCATTAGTACATACATTAGTTTATTGGCATTGGTTAGTTTTTTTTCTAAACTTTTTAAAAATGAAGAATCACTTGAACACCATATAGGAATTTTTGAAAAAATATTAGTAAATCTGGGTATTATTTTTGAAAATTATTCTGTTTTGTATAGAGTTTTTGATGGTTGAACCACAAACACAACGTCCCACATTCTTGGCGCCGTCATCTGAAGCTAACAATAGAATTTTAGCTGAAGTAGCGATGGCCTAAATCTTAATAACTGCAGTAGTAGTAACAACGCCAGTCTAAATACATTGCTCGCTATAATAAAAATATAGCCTTCTTTTTAATTTTATCTATGAAAGTAGTCTTTTGCTGTAGTATTTGTGTTTGAAAAATTGTATTTAACTTTGAGAAAGTAATATGGAATTAAGGCGACACTGAGACTATTAAATGTATATGTAGTGAAATGAATTATTATTTGCGCATAGGTTGTAGTCAAATTTGCGTTATGAACTTGATTGTCGCTGTATGGTACCTGTGCTTATACTATAATGGTCCATTAGAGGTCGTGCCAAACTGTTGTGTAAAAATAAACGTTAAAAAACCGTGTCAAATGTGATCGCGTTACCGGTAACGTGAATAGGATCAAGAAAATGTCAATGGGTCATACTATCGCTGCTAATTATGAACAGTACATAAATTAATATAATTAGACAAATAATATAGCTGATCCCAAATAGTTGGAATAGAGGCTAAGGTTATGATGATTATTAAACAAATCACTTCTGTGTTGAACAAATCTTCTGTATTTGAAAACGTTTGATATTTAATTTTATGTTATAGGCGATAAATGGAATTTATGCTAGGTATTATATTAATTTTTAGTGAAAAAATATATAGCAGGGAAACTTAACGAAGTTATAGCACCATAGTTATACAGAATATTAATAGCAGTCTTGATTCTTAATAATAATACTTAGTAACAGTAACGTGTCTATATAAGGGCTACCATAGGATGTTGGTCTAAGGTGCAACGAAAAGGGCGTCCCTGAGTCTTTCGGGGCATCATAGCCGATGATACTAGAGTAAAAATGTATATAATATTATTTAAAATTAATATTCTCTATTTTAAGTTTTTAAGGGTAAGCTGAAAAAAAATTATTTTTTTAACAAAAAATGTTAGGGGACATCAAATATAAACTATCTCAAGGTGCTTAAACCCTTAATATGCCTATGATTAGTAACGATTTCATTTATATGAATATTTATCATATATTAATAACAAATTGATTTTGTAATATATGAAGGTACTCAAGTTATATTTTGAGGAATAGTAACCATTATATTTAATCAGTGTGATAAAAAAAAAAATTAAAATTATACATATATAACTAGATTAAAATATATTTTATAAGGTATTTCTATCATAAGATTTACATCAACTTCAAAAATGTTTTCATACGGAGGAGAGTAAAAAGTTATACAGAGATTGATAAAACGTAAATACAAATATTGATAGAACATAAATGAATGTATAGTAAAATCCATACATTTTTTA